TTTTTGTACAACCTGAAACTTACACCCCAAAGATGCATATAGTTTCCCCTTTTTCAAAAATTTAAGAATCTTTAAGCAAATTTCTCTGCATTTTTCTTCAGAATCCAAGATGGCGTCCAATCATGGCTGCCAATTTTAATGAAAACTGATATAATCTCTTTTGCAGTATAATGTTTTGCACACGGTATGCGTATTGTCCCATATAAAATTGTGAAATATATTAGAAAAAAAATCAAAATTTTAGGTTACCCACATTGTTAGTCATGTTTTTTAGTTTTTTTGTACAAAAAAAAAGATCTTTAAAAAAAATCAAAAAGATAAAGTGCCATTTTTTTTTCATTTTTCTCTAACATGGTTTTCTAGGTCTATGTACAAAATTCCCAAAAGTTACATAGTTTCTTAAAGTGTATTTGATATTCAGATCAACACTATGTTTTTATTGTATAATTGTAACAAAAACAAACAAAAATGTGAAGGTTTTAATAACTTATTAAAAAAGTAGGGATGGGGTAAATTTATCAGACAAATTGTAGTACAAAATAACGTTTTTTAAGAAATTCTTATGCAAATATTCACTGTAAAAGTATTTTATTGTGATTAAGGTATTTTTGTTTTCCTTCAGATCTAGAGGGTGTACTAAAATATCAATAAATGCAGATTACAATCATATGTATACATTCAGTTATTAAAGTGTGTTTGCGATGATATAAGTTGTTTCAATATTCTTAATACAATTTGATAATTGTACAGAAAGAAGACTGAATGATTCATCAACGAACCATATGTTAGATAAAATCATGCTGGAACCTTAGTGAAATGTTGTCTATTTATGAATACAATTATTTCCTGCACAATTTAAGTCTGCTAAAAGCTGTAACAGAATGATTCAAATGTCATATTTACTTTCACATCATTGTAACCAAGTATAAATTGAATTAGTACCGTCCATTTCTAATAACTTATGTAGACATGATATTTTCAAAGAAACAAATACGACTGATACATCATAATATCTAATGACTAGGTGTGCTTAAAATAGGTATCAAATAAAACGGCTTTACCCACATAAACAAAACATAGCTTATACTTTGGAATATAAACTAAATGTGTTTCCTACTTTATTTTCCCATTAAACAAGAAGCATTGTTGACCCTAGATGACGCGCCTAAGACCAACTGCTGGAAAAGGTCTATAATTCTTTATACTGAAGAAATGCAAAAAATCATAATAAGAGTATCTTTTTTTATCACCGTCATGATTTATAAACTATTTGAAAAGAATCATGTCCAAAACTAGGCTCTCAGAACTACAAGAAGACTCATATAACTTATATTCCAAATAACGAGTCGCATGTAACTAAGTGATTTTGACCCTATGCCAATAGTTTTACTAACTTTATATAGCATTCACAAGATGTTATGAATATATTTTCTCTTCTCTGTGCACATAGTTTCCGGAAAAAAGAATTTGTAATATATTAAGTCAAATGTAAAACTAACGGAGATGACAGAGAAAGCCATTTTGGACTGCAGGAATGATTTAAAGGCCCTCCGAGGAACACAGTTTTTAAAGACTTTTGTGTAGGAATCGTATTTAAAGTTGTTTTGTTGTTGTTGTTGTTATTTAAAAAAATCAACAAACAAACAAACTGTAATGCCTAGAGCTTAGATAGGTCAAAATAATAAACCTTGCCAAGTAAAGAAACCACCCTTTAAAAGTTACATAAAAAACACTTTTGGATCATTAATGTACATGCAATAGAAAAATTCTTCTCAAAAATCAAAATGCAATAGAGCAAACAGGTACTAGGCTGGCATGTAGCACCAAACTTGGGTCTTTATTTACAGACATTTAATGAAATCATGCTTCATATGGAGCCAACCTGGGTTCACAAGACTTGTATAGGAAAACACATTAAAAACATCTAGTGTTAAACTACATTGACCTGAAATAAGATATTTGGAAATGTAGACTGATATAACAATGCATAAATTTGTATGATGCTACTGCAGTCGTAAAATGGTTTTGCAATGGTATCACTTAAATTTACAAAGACTACTGTAATAAATCTGTTTTCTCTTAACCTACAGTATCCGACGCATATACATTAATCAATGTATTCATCATAAATATGTTTATAAATAATGATATATCATGGACCAACATGGTCCAAATTTACCAAACACAAAAGGTCACTAAGTTTATATGGACTCGTATATAGATATGGGTTATTAAAGTCCTCTCGTGTGAATAAAAAATTGAAAGCAGATATTAAGCATGTTTTTTTAAAAGCAACCGGATTCAATTATGACACAAATCATGTGTGTTATGACATAATTGACACTCCCAAAATGATCTTGTTTACCTTTTTTGCAACAATGATCTTAGGTGAGTGGATCCAGGGTCATCATTACCTTCTTTATTGATAAGAAAAAAATAAGATATGATTACTATGTAGGAAATACTAGTATTACTTAGTTTTTTGGTTTACTAGTTTAAAAATAAAATCTTAACTTTCAAAAGTTGCATGCAGGCGAGACCATATCATTGATATATATGTTTCACATAACAATACATTTTGTTGGTTTTTAAGCCATGTTTATATTATAAATATAAAATTGTGGTGGAGTCAAAAATGCGTTTATGGACTACCTTTATACCTTACATTTTCAAGTACATGTTTGCTATTTTAAGCACGTTTAGTTGATTTATTGCTCTTCATTATATATGTCTTTACAATTAACAATTAATATATGATGTCAAAATATATTGAAACAAGAATTATCATGCAACCAAATTTATGACTGAATGTATACACCTGTTTGAATGTGCATTTCTTGCTCACCCACCAAATGGCCCGAAGGAAGACAAAAATACTTTCATCCAATAAAAAGTACTTTTTAAGTTGGAACATTTGCATAAGAATTCAAGGAAAAGTAAAAAGGCAAAGAAATAGAATGAACTTAGCTATGTAGATTTTCTGTTGTTTTTTCTTTTACAATTATAATATAAAATTACCCCACCCACTTTCACAAACTATAAAACCTACAGATTTAATGCTTTTCTTACAATAAACAATAAACACATGATATTAATGGAATGTCAAATACAGTTTAAGATATAAAGTAACTTTTTTAACTTTGTACATTACTTTAGAGATTCAAATTTGAAAAATATGAAAAAAATGGAATTTTTTCTTGATCTTTTTTAAAGATATTTTTAGACAAAAACTTTTAAAATGTTTACTTTTATTGAGATTAACATATAATTTGATTATCTCTGATATGTTTAAACACCTTTTTTATCATAATAAACATAATTTGTGCACCAAAAATTATACTATAAAATGGTTATAACAGTTTTGCACAAAATCGACGGCCATATTGGACGCCATCTTGGATTTGGAAAGAAAGTATGAAAGAGAAATTTTGTGATATTTAAATTTTTGAAAAGGAGAAACTATATGCATGCTTTTGGTGTTAGTTAAAGGTCTGTACAAAACATTGGAATGAATGAGCTAGAATGTACGTCAAATTTATATGGCGGCCATTTTGAAAATGGCGGCCATCTTGAATGAGCAGAGATATTTTTGGGCCCACTTCACTTTTGAAATCTACATGGTCTAAAGATGATTTCCTGAAAGTTTCATGCTTGTATCACAATTTGCACTATTTTCTCATTTTCCCGCCCCACTACTAAGCTATACGAACAATAATTCAATATTTGCAAACTTAATGCCGAGAGGAAATTAATTGCACACGGGCAAACTTGAATAAATAAAATATCACGAGACAACATCAACAAGTTATGAAGCGAACCAACGAAGTTTCAGATGATCACTAAGGATAGGATCAACAAAAACACATTGACACTATATGATGTCTAAAGGAAAAAATACAGAGGAAACTCATATCATCACTTCTAATTAGGCCTAGGTGTGTACAAAGAAATTTAAGAGAATAAAAAGGTCAGCTCACAGAAACATTGTGGACAGCTCAAATTATCAACATCAAGATTGATTTGGCGAGTTCAGGTGATTGGTCACAAACAGATGATGTTTAAAAATTTAGTTGATATGTGCAAGGCAAATGCATTGGAAGTGTGAGATTATATGTACATTAATTGAAATACGAGTATAGAGAAAAACTAAAACTGTAGACAAATAGGAAACCAAGAAATAAATCGGACGTACATTTTAGATAAATCTAGTATAAAATTATAAACATGGGCTCTACGCTTGCAATTGACGAGAAAGAAAAACAGTGAAATTCATAGATACATGTGACAAACAAACAATTTCGCCTTTCCTCTCAAAATAAATTTATTTGACAATAACGACACTGATAGTTAGACATTTCATTCTTACATGTACAGAGTATATTGTTCTTCTGACATATAGCGATACAATTGTTGGCAACAACCATCATAACATTTTGGTATTTCACCCCATTGTTTCCGATTACAATTTTGTTTGCTGATTGCACAGTATTTAGTCAGATACACCCCTTTCTCTTTGGTACTAGCGCGTCGTGGAGTGACACAGGGCATCTGCAGAACGACAGGTTGAACCCAACTTTGTTTTCATACTTCGGTAGATCCAACTTTCTCCGATCCTAAAACTTGGAAAGGAGCTGCCGATGCCCTGATAGAAAACAGGCGAAAGGGCCTTACAAAGTGGTGGGGACGACGAGTAAGGGTGCCAGGATTCGAAGCTCCCTACACACAGAGACATCTTAAAGGCAGGGTCTTACAATGTATGTGGCATAACAGCCACCAACAGGGCTATCTTAACTTTCCGTCAATTTTCAGGTTTCTGTATCTTCATAGTCTTATAGAAAAATTTTCTGGCTCAAAATTTTTCTTAATTTTACACCCAATTCAGTGCAGTTTTTTCATAGATTCTTCATAGTTTCTTATCGAACATGCTTTTCGTAAAAAAAAAAGATCGAATGACACCGTTACGCATGACTGTGTGTAAATCAATCGGTAACAAATTCATATTCATTGTTTAGGAATCGTAATTAATAACGCTCTTGTGAAATACGCTCGTATCAAAACTATCAACATTCATCTATGTATTTTGACTTTTTGATTCGCTAGTATATGTAGTAATGAAATACATGTATATAACTTTTAAGGCGACTGTAACAGACGTTAAACTATTCGTAATTGTATTATAGTATATTATTTACAGCGTTACTAATGGTTTTCTAAATATAGGTTGTGAGAATTCCGTTTTATTTTTATCAACCAATGAAAACGCTCGGATTAGGTCATGACATTATTTCGTCCACGCTGGAAGTAGAAACGCGTTTAAATTTCACCAAATTAAAATGACGATATCCTATTTGCATTTACTATATATATTGAAGCTGGCCGTCTTAAAGCAAAACATTCAATACCGAATAACGAGTCGAATACTCAAGAAATATATAGTTTAGATCTTTACTGATCTATTAATTTCTGTAATACATTACTAGCTCTGTGGGACGTATATTTTAGTTAATTAATAATGGGTATGTTTCTATCAAGATTGTATAATCTGTTTGAGGACTGGGGAGCGGACCCAGCCCGGATTGTTATGCTCGGACTGGATGCTGCAGGTATATTAACTTTTATTTATTTATTTATTTACATGTACATGTACTTATATATTTATTTAATTTATTTATTCATTCGTTTATTTATTTATTCAATTCATTTTTTATATAAATGATTGATTGATTGATTGATTGATTTGTCACGAATTTTAATTAATTGAGTGAAAAACTTCATAAATTCGATGCTTTTTGAACGTTTAAACACTTAAATTATTGTAAACATACTTTTGAATCTTATTTATACACAGGAAAGACAACTGTGCTGTACAAAATCAAGTTGAATGAAACAGTTACTACCATTCCTACTATTGGTTTTAACGTAGAAACTGTCACTCCTGTGAAGGGTCTACAGTTTACTGTATGGGATATTGGAGGCCAAGGAAAAATAAGACCCTTGTGGAAACGGTACACAGAAAATTCTGAAGGTACGTGTACCCGACTATTATTGCGTGCTACGAAGTTGAGTTAAGATATTTATTTTCATTGTGTGCGTTTCCAATACTTTTCTTTGTCCAATTTCATTACAAGTTTAATAATCTTAGCTTAAAACATGTTCAATGTATCTCAATCTAATTAAAATCATACCCTTACTGTCGCTCCAGTACCCTTCGCTACATAGCAAAGAGTAACGGAACAAAAACGATGATCTGATGTTAATGAGATTGAATGTATCTCAACATAATTTACCATTTGAATATTTTTGCAGGTTTGATATATGTAGTGGACAGCGCTGACAGAGAGCGGATGTCAGAGGCCCGGGAAGAGTTATTTGGAATTCTAGAAGGGGAAGAAATGAGAGGCGTTCCAGTGTGCATTGTTGCCAATAAACAAGATCTGCCAAGTAAGTTAAATATCATGTGATTACTTAACTAACTTATATGATAAATAAATTCGGATTTTCGATTTAGAAACGCTAAAATGAGGAATCGAATAGTTTGCTACGTAAGAGTTACTGATCATACATTTTCTCTCTAATAAGAATAAATAACCAAAGCATCTGGTGGTTTACAGTAATGTGGCATCAAAAATATTTGATGAATGTCCGGATAACCTAAAACAAAACAGATGCAGAAGGGAACGCATTCAAAATAATAGAGAAAATGGAAGAAGACTTTTATATCTATGTACGCGCTAACGGAATATATCGTTATACTGTACAGAACAGTTCATGCAGCTAAAAGATAATCACTTCACGATTTTCTATCATGCTATGAACCGGTAACTTCAGCAAGGCAATGATATTTTTTGTGAACAAAATCCAGATCACTTAACGAAAATTATCAAATGAAAAACTGATATAACATTTTTAAAGCATCCATGTCGAGTATTTCTGACAATGATCTGTGTTGTGTTGAACTGTTTTCTAATTTATTATTGTTTCTATGTTTAACTTATATGTTTTTTCTCTCAATTTTACAGATGCAATGAGTCCTTCAAAAGTAATTGAGGAATTGCACTTGCAGAAGCTAACAGGCCGGAAATGGTATATCCAAGCTGCGTGCGCAACTACCGGGGAAGGAATATATGAAGGAATGGAACACCTTGCAACAATGGTTAAAGAATTCAAACACAACAATCGATTTTAGAAGAAACACTGTCACAGCTTTTATTAAAATGAGACAGTTTGCCTTGTCGGCTCAATCAAGATGGTGTTTGAAATAAAGGCCATATAAGCCATGTGTTCTACGTAACTTGATACTGAACGTTCGTGGAATTAAGATGTTTGGTGTTCACAAAAGGATATTTCAAATGGTTATCGGCTACAATCACGCCGAATAAAAATCATTTGACATCTTTGTCATCTCGAACAAATATGATAAAGTTTATACAATTTGACACATTGTTGGTGTCTATTTTAGCCATATGTTTGGAGAGCGAACACGGGGTGTGCAATTCTGGAATAATCCGAAATCCTTGAACTGGTATAGTGAACTCGAATCCATTGTTGATTTTTGTTCCGAACAATAGCCTTTACTACAAAGCTTTTACTTTTATATTTTGTGGTTTTTTGTCTTCTTGCAAAGGAAATGATAGTTCAGTCACATAAGTACATTCAAGTACTCTATCAGGACTGACATGCGTTATGTTCTAATATTAAGGACCTTTGTTGTGTGTTTATGGTGAGATCAGATTATGATATTGCTTTATTTAATGTAAATGTTATACTTGGAGTTGTTCTTTTTTTCATTAGTTTTATTAGCATCAAAGTAATATTATACTAGAAGTTGTACATCATTTATATAAGTACTTGTTTACATTGTTAGTATTTTCTTCTGTTACATGTTGTAAATAGTGACATTGTTTTAATGTTGATTTTGCTGTTACTGTTGTTGTTGTTGTTGTTTATAAATAAATATATTTTTATACCTTTTTAGATAAGTTTTTTCAGTATATCTTGTATGTGGCGCCGTTATATGACGCTAATTGTCGCACGATGCCATAACTGCCGTAGAATGTCGCAAAATCTTCTGCCATAAAAATTCGCAATGTTAACTGTCACATGATTTTCCCTTGCCGTTTAATGTCGCAACAATACCGTTTGATGTCGTAAGGTGTATATTCATGATAAAATTAAGGAGTTAGTAATTCTAAATTGAAATATGTATGTACATATTTTGTAACTTTTGGACATTAGCTAGAGAATGTCCAGATCCATCTGCCGACTCAAGATGAAAAATGCTTTTAAAGTGGATTGGTCTACAATGGGCACATTTTCAAGAAGTATTTCAAATTAGAAACGTATCATTTGGACATACTTGCAAAACATTTCTTAAACAAATAAATTTATTTTTACAATAGTTTTATATGACATTTATATAATGAATTACTAATATTTTGTTCTAGACCATTTAATTATCCACATCCACATTATAATCTGTTCATGGTTTGTTATCACACATATTCCTTAATACTATATTTATGCAATGCATACTTTCCATCATTGACCATTTAAAATGTCCTTTTTGTTTGTAACGAAAATGTACAAACATCGATTAAAGTATAGTATAGTCATCTTATAAGGGTATTGCTTGGCGTACTTGCCCCTCAAAGCTGTGGGTTAGAATCCGGCCGGGAACTTTGATTCTTTCATGTGAGGAAGCTATCCAGCTTGCTTACGGGGACGCCGGTGGTTCTGCCCAAGTTCAAGTTCGCCAGAGGTAGTCCTCCAACATTAAAGCTGGAAAGTCGCTACATAACCTTACTGTGTTGGTGTGACGTTTTTATGTCGAAAAACCTAATTAGGACTTTGCACGTATTAATTAGAAGTTTTAAAAAACGTATTAGGAGAAATAAAATTCTTGCTTATTCTTTGTATGTAAGTCTAATTAGAAAGTTTAAAGTTCAAATTATGTTTTTATTTTATATTTAGTCTTTTGAAGCTCCTTCTAATTAAGATTTTATTTTTCAACTCCAAATAATAGTTTCATTTATCCTAATAAGGCTTTTTCACCTTCTTATTAAGAGTTTTTATCCGATTTATTTCTCCTAGTTATGAGTAAAAATTTTCTTATTAATTTGTTAATGGAGTAACAAATTGTAATAAGTTTTTTTTATCCCTCTTACTAAATAGAATCAAAGTCCTAATAATAAGTTAGGCTTTTAACTAAAAGTAAAAATAAATTCTTAATAGGCTTTTAAAACTCCAAACGGAAGTAACAAAGTCCTAATTAATCTTTAAAACTCCTTATTAAACAGATTTTAAAGAACATTAAGATTTTGCAACAGACGATTCGTACCAAAATTGTTTTAAAATTAGAGATTTTCGACCATGCGACCACATACATGCATCGAGGACATAATGTAAGGAAAGTGACCGTGCGACCACATACACGCATCACAGGATTCCCCTTCTCATACGAGAAAGGGACAAAATTGTGTCCGCCCTTTAAATTAAAGGACAAACTTAAAAAACATGCCATTTTCTTATTGCTATTGATAAGGTGGCTAATTTTCACAAATGTGACTTGAATTGGTTTATATACAACAACAGTAATGCAAACCAAGCGGGTAGGAGTTTACGTCCTTTTAAGTCCGCTATGAAGAATTAAAATTATCGTATGTAATTTCATAGAAAATTTTGAGTTTACAGTTGTTTTCTACTTTTCATTCTATGTATATAACAGAATTATTTTGTTTTTGCAAGACATGTACGTATCAGAAACGTTTTATATGCATTAAATATGGGAGATAATTCTCACACTTTGTTTGCAAATATTAACCTCGGGGCATTTTTGCCAATGTATGCATTTAGTTTCTGTATTCGACTTTTCTACTTGTGATAAGAAGGATAATGTGATGGGCTGCAAGAAAAACATAGATTAAAACTGAGCAGCCGACAATTCTGACACTGGTAAAATTGTACATATTTGCAAGCCTAATCTTAGCCTACTGAATTTGTAAAATGCACTTTTCAAGCTTCCATTTTTAGAACTGTCTATCAATCTGGTAATATGAAATTGCTGTCCGCATGGGTGCAAACCATGGCTGATCTGAGCAAACCGTTGTTTCCTTCAGCAATAAACTTTACATGTATTGCTTAGTACTGGTTGGTTCCAGACCTGTACTGATTCGAGAGTGTTCCAAGACGCTTATATCTTTCAACACAATCGAACTAAAATAAATTCTGTATATAATGAACTCGTCTAATACAATAAGACTTGAATAAAGAAAGCATTTTTTACTTAATTTATGCATGTATTTTCATACCAGGACAATGTACAGCGAACAAAACCGAGACAATTGAACTGCATAAAATCACAGACAATCTTGCCCATGGTTGGGACCCCTACTTTCCTGATTCGTGTTTTAAGTTAACTTTAGACACTATTATTCTTAATGTCTAATAGAAGTAGTTTTTCACTGAGTTCTATGATATATTTAGATCAATATATACTAATATATTAAATGATTTCGTGTCCAAAAATGACTGTCACCGTATTCTTCTACGTTTGCAGATTTGCCAACCATAGACACAAAGATGTATTTACAAACACCGGTATATAAAAATCATATCTTGAATCATCTGTACAAACATTATCAACTGTAAATATAAAACACAGGCGACTAGATATTGAATCAGTTGTACAAATATGACCAGTTTTTTTCCATAAATTGTACACATATGACCAGATATTGCATCCTATACACAAATATGACCAGATATTGCACTAATTGAACAAGTATATGACCAGATAAAGCATTACTTGTATTAATATGACCAAATCAGGGCTTCCATTAAGTTTCAAAATTTGGAAGTCAGAGACTACAAAATCTCTGATATTGGAAGTCTATATAGGTAAAGGAAAAGTATTAGATTTTGGTGGTCACAAGCCAAAATTAAGGAGTAATTCGAGTCTGCAATTCTCTTGTAATTTTGTTGTGATTAATGCTTCCGAGGGATCACTTTGTTTCAAGATTTCCATTAATGCAAGCCTTGCCAAATAATGCATCATTTGTACAAATATGACAAATTCTTGCAGCAGTGGTACAAATGACTAGATATATTGCATATATTATACAAATACAGCCAGATATTGCACCATTGTACAAATATTACCAGATTTTGCACCTTTTTACTTATATGGCCAAATAGTGCATCAATGATTCACATATGACCAGATATTCGACTTATTACCAGAATATGACCAGATATTGCACGTTTATAGTTCAGGTGGCAGTTTTTCAAACAGTAACCTCATTGAGGCAACATTTGACAATATATATTGTATTTCCATATTCAACGAATATCGTTCATGTTAAAGCACTTTATCACTTTTATCACTCTTTAAATTCTACGAAATCTTAATCGGCATCAATAAAACAAATTCATCCCCGAATTCGACACATGAAGTGTGCAATGGGAAAGGAACGACAATCTAATATTAAGTAACTTAATCACAGACAATTGATAATTTAGGAGACAGATTATTTAACACTATACAAATAACAGATAAGTTATCAGCCCATTGCCTCTATTTATCACAATATTTGACACATATATGTAGTTTTTCGTCTTTTTGGTCTGGTGACAGGTTGTGGGCTAATAACTGCTAATATCGCATTATCAAACACAGCTTTAAGCCCCTTTTGAGTCAAAGCGGAACATTCCACATAACAGTTTGCGCCTATTCTGTTAGCCAGTCGTAATCCCATTTCGTAGGTCACCGGTTTCTGTCGGTTTTTCTGCAGTCTTTGGATTTCATAAAAATTGTCCCGTAGATCAACTTGCATGCCAACAAGTATGAACGGGGTTGTCTCCCTGTAATGGCGGACTTCTGGTGCCCATTTCTCTTCGACGTTTTCAAATGAAGTAGGACCCATGACCGAGAAGCAGACTATAAAAACGTCAGTATCCGGATATGCCAGAACTCGTAAGCGGTCATAGTCTTCCTGAAATATAAAAAAGAAATCTTAAAGTATGTTTATGAATGACAAATCAAAATACACAAGTGATAATTAAGAGGTGAGCTGTGATCTGATGGTTAACTTTGAGTCTGCCCGAACATATCATATGTGACAACCAAAGAATTTGAGTCCTTAAATAATTTAAATTAAGTTCCCTGACTCTATTTCATCAGCATATGGTAGCCTTGTAAGCGTCTACGTAAGCGATTTATTATATAGGTTAAAAGTGATATATCTATAAATTAATCAAGACGATTATTCAAATAAGATATATATTTTTATTTTATATTTATTTTTATTCAATAATTTCTGTATATTAGATTGATTATTTTAATAAGTCGACGTTGTTCATTAAAATCTCTCTTCTTTTATATGCATGTATACATGTAATTATGACACATATAGAAGATTTCAAAATTCTCAACTAACGTGATAACTAAAACAATTTTGTATAAAGAATCATACCTGTCCAGCAGTATCAAAGAGGCCCAGTATCATCGGTTTGTTACACACGGATAAACTCACTGAAATATGCAAAACAGTTGATAATTAATACTCATCTATATGCCATATTACAGAAGCAAATACTACAACGGAAACTATCCGAAACGATGCCAGTTTCAAAGTGATGTCCAGCCATTGGTCAATTTCAAATATTTGCTAATGATAATCAATTTATCAGGTATTTATGTACAAAGATGATACATTGTACTATTATAGAGATCCTAAAAAGAAAACGACGACCTTCACTCACATGAAGGTGTGTATATCATATTGTTTTATTATGATATACATTAGTATACATTTTCAATTCAATTTTATATACAATTTGTTTTCAGGGTAAAATGCGGAATTTATTTAATACTAAAGTTTTTTAATTTGTTTGTTTGTTTTTTGTTTCTTTGTTTGTTTTTGTTGTTTGTTTTATGGGATATTTTTTGAATATGGTTACCCACATCCTTGATTAATGGATCATTTAGATAATGAATGTTATCCCTGATATCTAATCTATTTTAGTGCAAATGCGAGGCTCAATGATTTTATTATAGATGTCTTAAACCTAGTTCATCTACCTTCTACTAGAAAGGTTAAGGTACCAATGGCAACGCTTAGTATTTGACTGATTCTGTGAAAAGGTTGTAAGGTTATGATTTGACAGAATGAAGGGTGTTATTGTTATTAAAGTACTATTATTCATATTAACTATGCAGTAGGTTTTTAGGGCGTTGAGGCAATACAATCGTGAAAAGTCGGGATAGATCGTTACTTTCCGGATTTAAGTTCCAGTAAAATTACTGTGAAATTGTTGTTGTTGTTGTAATTGCTGTTCCGAATCCCCTTTGCTAAATATAGATACTAGTATCATTACTTAACCTTTAGACAATCGGCTGCTGAGGAGATATTTAAACAAATTAAGAAAAAGGCGTGACAGAATAATTGCAAGCGGAACTCATTTACATATACAAAACATATAGCCTAGAAAATATATGCAATGCGTAAATGTTAATAACTTTTGAATATTCAGTTACTTAACATTTACTGTATTATATTGAATGAGTAAATAGATTGTGCTTTAGGACAAATCGAGACTTGGGTGTTTATACGACTAACTCGAGACTGGGCTGGGTGTGGTGGCAGACGAAAACGTTCGGCGGTGAAGAATTACTATCCATAGAGATGGTACATGTACAATGTACATTGTATGTACATATGTTTCATGTACAATGTACATTGTATGCACTTCCTTTATGATATCTACAATGCTTTGATTATAAGTATTTCTCCTACATTACTGTGATTGTATTTGATCGTATAGTGCTAATCACATATTAAACAAATTATGCAACCACATACCATTGGCATAGCAATCTTCATTAATTACTACAACTAGTATTATTTATGTTTTAACTCTCCGAATGCTTACGTAGATATTAACTATAATATAGAGTCAGAAGAAACAGTTGCCTGTTGAGTATTATTTTATACATGTGCAGTATATAGACGAAATTCAAGTTTCTTCTATAAATACAGGATTTAATTTCAACGAGTGGTATGAAAATATGATAATTTTCATACCACTCGATGAAAATATAATTTTTATAGCACAAGATAAAAATAAATCCTGTATTGATAGAAAAAAACTTGAATTTTCTGTTTATTACCTTGTATATACTTTTCTCTTTTTTAACCTCATGAATAGGAAGAATTCCCTTTTAATTGTGTGCATTACCTAAATTTAGAAGGAATTTATTCGACAAGACACCAGTGAAAGTACGGAAAATATGTTTCACTGTAGTGAAACAAAAATTACAGTGAAAATACGGAAAATAAAAATACTCATTTTATTTCATCAATATAATTCAATGTTTCATTTGTAAATTATAACAGTTGACGCATGGCAGTTCTACATAAAGTGCGAGCTCGGTAAGACGCTTTAAAAGAAGAAGGCGAATGGCGAATATTACGTGATGTCCGGGAAAAACCCCCTTTTATTGCGTATTTCGTATCCAGATAAATATTTTGGCTTGTCCAAAGCTGACTTTAAATGCTTCAAATACAAAACCATAAAAATCTAAGCACCCTGCATGGTACGTACACAACCCCGATTAGACTATACAAGCTAGTATTACTTCCTCTATACAAATCATGAAATGTTTTTTTTTTTACATGCGCGACTCGAAGAGCTTGACTCATGACAATTCACATTTACACAGCCGGTTAAGTCATGTAAGTGATAACCATTTGCCACCAGTATCGAGCCAGGTCAGCATGCACATCCGTGACCATCTTCAACATTTCATCTCGTTCCAAAATGTCAGCTGGGCGATTTCATTTAAGAAACTCATCAGGTTAAAGGGTTAATCTAACTTGTAAACAGCTTTCTCTATCAGTAATAAAATAAGTATTAAAGTAAAAGGGTTAAGGGTGGAGGTTGATAGAACTTGAATCAATGGACACTAGAACATAATATCTTCAACAACATCGCAGATTAGAGATTGCAGTCCCTAAAATACATTTCAAAATTGCCGGGCCGGTGACAGTTATAAGGAGTTAGTTAAAGTACCAGGCTCTGTTGTTGAGCGTTTGGAAAATATTCATATATTTTACATAGAGTATAGTTAGTGATCTCTAAAATAATAGCAAAATCAAATACATTTATAATCACGAATAATTGGAATATTGTGTGATCTACACATGAGACTGTTTATGCTAAGTCTGCTTTTAAGTTAAAACGTTCTTTATCCTGCCATTTTCCTCCCCCTTAATAGCACTTTCAGCGTATTGACTATATTTCCTATACCGTTGATTTCGCGAAATTTGGCATTCAAGAACACTTTCGCGAAAAGTTCTTACTTTATAGTATTTCTATATAATACCCGGTATTAAAAAGGGCATAAAACAAAATGAGAAAAATATTTTATACTATTTTCTCAAATCATGAATAGCGCCTGTCCATTATGAGCATATATAGATCATTAAAATGAATGTCTAAATGTATTAACAAACGTTTCTCATAAATAAGTCATAAACTTTTTTTATATAAGATTCCATTATAAACCGGAAATAAATCAACTCTAATTTACCACAAGCATTCTATACTCGATCGAGTTTCTCATAACCTGATATACATAACTGATAAGCCATGTACAAAGAACCAAGATAAAAACATCCCACATGTATTTCACTTTTTTTATCTGAAATTATATATAGATAAACAAACATACATTGCAGTGAATTTAATCATTATTATTACTCATAAGCCTTTCTGGCTTTCAAAATCTTATCTCAACATCGGTTTGCGAAAATCTATACCTTTTACCTGGCTTAACGAAAACAGATCTTTTGAGCGCTAGAAAGATGGCGGGAAAAAAAAGAAAATTGACAGTTTGTTTTGAAAATGATTTGAAAATCCTCAAGAGATTCTGCATGATTGAGATAAATAACAGACTTAAAATCTAAGACACAAAAAAATCATGATAGGAGAGAGAGATAGAGAAAATCAAGAATTTTAGATCTTTAATCATGCAACGTTTTCTCAGAGAATGCTAATGCATGTGTAATTATAATGGCGTGTAAAAATAACGCGCGGAAATGCAATGTTAAATTTCTGTTTTGCTTCATGCGGCTGACTCATGTCCTGTATGATTCACATATTGTTTGTAAACATATATATGTAAAAGAAAATCGTTGCAAATGTTAATGAATCAGATTCTATATTAATCAATTTACATATTTGTTAAGTTGTATTTTTAGTTAACAATGGCAAATGTTTATCATTTTATGAGTGGTACATTTATTTAATTATCTGTACAAGCTATAATTACCAAAAACGGTACAATATAACATATAGACTATAGTATTTATGTAAATAGAGCAGGAATTTATAATTATGAAACAATTAAACACATGAAAGTGGATATTAATCATTTAATTGTTAACAAATTGTTTGTTTAAATATTTCCTTACTAAAGGTCAAGAAAAAGTGCAAAATGCAAATTAAATTACTGTCAGACCTGCGTTAAAACCACCTCCAATTAAAGGTCATTCTGTGACAAAGCTTCATTGAAAAAAAAATTAAAACAGAGTAAACTATGAATAAAGACAACTTTTCTATATAGGCCGCGTATGGTCTCTCCTTTGGATGGCCTCTATACACAGATTTGTCAGCCTAACTGTTTTTGAAAAGGCAAAACCGTCTAGAAATGATTATATTAACAACATTACCAGACTGTATTTAAAATTTGACTATGTAAATTGAAAATGAAAACAGTCAAAACTTCATGTATAATTTTGTTGTTGGAATTCACGTCACACCAACACAGTGGAGCTCGCATGGCCACTTCCTAGCTTTACTAGTGTAGGAAGAGCTCAGGTGTCCCTCAGTGCACGAGCGGGCATCCGAGTAGAATCATCGACGTTCAATGATAAACACTGTGTGTCGCTCAGTGCATCAAGGAAAAAAATCTTCTTTTCTGTAAATTGTTCTTATTTTGGGTTTGGGAGAGAATATTATATTCCATAGCTTCATTACTAAATTTATTGAGCTCGTTGAAATGAATGAATAAAGAAATGAGTGAACGGACAGACAGACAAACAAAGAATGTATTAAAATGTAATAGTAGAAGCAACCATTATAATTAAATTAAATATATATATTATATAGGCTTTACTTCCTTCAAATTATACTTGACCCATGAAATACAACGTTTACTTGTATTTCATTTGGAATTCGAACCTACTTTAATCGTAGCCTTAAGTAAAATGGCATGCAGGCCTAGCAGTCCACGAGGTCAAAAAGAGAGCTTCTGATCCTAAAAGCATGTAAATAAATACTTAAGAACGTGCTGTTAGATCTGGTTTGTTTTCGACAGCGCTTATTTTAAGTGCTTAATTTAACACACTTGATAAAAGTCAATTACTCCTATAAACGTTTCGTGTTAGCAGTTTCCTTGAAATCTCTTCAAATCATTATAATATGTACTTGGTCGGCACTTTTGCCCTCCTAAATTATGTAGCCACTCGTGCTTTGAAAAATCTTCCGCAATTGTTTAACATCGGACAATATATTCTTCCTTAAAGTTTATCTATTCTATTCCTAGAACGGAAAAGGAGTACTTTCAGATTGTCTCCCAGGCCGGAAGTGCTCATGTACTTTATTTCTAATGTAAGAGATTCGTTTTCAAACATACATGTTCATAATAAAGGAGCTTATGAAAATATTTATAACTGCAATATGCATAATTACGTCCAGATTTCGAACTTTTACATCTTAATTAGATTATGCTGAACTAATTTAAAAATACAAAACAAACAAAAAAAAACATATCTAATGAAGCATACAATCGCAAGGATCATGTCCGTTACTTTCTCCTTTTTCTATTATTTGTTGTTTGTTGCTGCTGTTGTTTTTGTTGTTCTTGTTTAAGTTTTGTTGTTGTTTTTGTTCTTTTAATTAGCCCTTAACCTGCATAGGACCCGGGCAGACTGCACATTCTTTCAGTGAGACTATTAGACTGGGCTCTATATTGCTGGAAGCTCCGTTGCTGTACTTTGATACTGAAATCTTTGTGAGATGTCGCTGTGCTGGGTCAATTCAAGCAGTGTTTGGTTAGCCAGCAACGTACATGTATACTTGTGTCATTTATCTATATGAGTTACATGAACATGAAATGAAATTGAAATACATCTATTACATTTAAAATTAGGTCGATATGTTCCTTTTTTATTGTACTAGTATGATATTGTTTTGATGTTGTTTTTTGTTTTAGTTGGTTTTTTGTTTGTTTGTTTTTTGTTGTCTTTTTTGTATTATAAGTATGTGTATTTATTCTTGTTTGTAAGTGAACATTTGTACGTTTATTTATCACTTACTTTCTGTACTAAGTCAACTTAAATCAAGTTTCGTGCACGTGGAGCAAAAGTATATAAATGTTCTGTTCTGCTCTGTAAAAATGTTTTATACTATATGCTGACATTAATCATACACGGTCGGGACAAATTCTCAAGAAGTTTGATTCTATTTAAGATATTGCAATTTTTTACTTATCTGCTAACATCGTCGGGACCTATTTCGACGTTGTTCGATTTTATGTAAAATGACACAATATTTACTCACCTGCGTAGTTATCAAAAACCGTGGGAACGTATTCCGACGGAAACTTGTTGGTTGCGTAACTGACAAGCATACATGTTTTCCCGACGGCGCCGTCCCCGACGACAACACATTTGATATAATCTGTTTTCGGTGGGTTGATTCTGTGGACACCATTCATTCTGTAATAATGTTATAAGTTACTATATCAATTTTCCATGATGATAATTCTATGAACCAGATGTTAATTTATAAAACACTCATGAATTTTCCTACTGCCCATTTCCTCTTTTTTCCCCTTTTCTTGATTTTCCTGTTTTAGATTTAAAGCAATGTATTGGCTCTAAGACAGTTTACATAAATAAGTTACCGTTTGTTGCTAGATGTTTTAAATCACGTTTTTCACAGATATTCTATAATATTTAAATTAAATGAATTCATTTAAAACAAACAACTATGGTAACGTACATGTATATTTCCGCTTTTTTTATGACAATAACTTGAATTTAATCACTTTTGCAATTTTTGCAACTTAATGGAACTTGTTTCAAAAAATATTTCCTGGAATCTAAACGGCACTGGAAGTGGGCGACTGGAAGCGTACGATCTCTTTAGAAAATGTACATGTTTGCAGTGCAGAAGATAAACAAAATATACATGTATTTTAATTGAAGCTGCAATTCACATTAAGACTTGAGAATCGTTAGGAAATCTTCACCGGTGGAGGTTGCTTTGGTGCAGCATTTAGTTTGAAAATAAAAAAGAACGCTGGTGCCGAATCAAACACACTATCGTCTGCTGATATGATATCACTGAAACAAACATGCAGGAAAAATCTGACGTGCGTCTCGAATTACATACATTTAAAATGCCAAGATCATTATTTTCATGTTTACAAGTAAAATTTTGTTTATCATTTATCAAAATAAAAAAAATATTTCTTTGTCTTTTTTATTCGTTAGAAAAAACAGCTGTGGATCGCATTGCATTGATCTCTTATAGTAATGGTGTTGTGTTTAGACAATTTATATTTTCGACATCTCCATAGACAGTGTGAGCCTAAACCAGGAGTCGGACCTAAACCTCCTGGAGGCCACTGATTATTCCTATGCGACCAGTGCAGACGAAGATCAGCCCACACACTTTTGTCGTCTGCAATTTTCTCTGTCCAGTCAGTTCATAATTCGAAATTTTCCCTTAATTAATAATTTTTTGAAAGATGATCGAGTCCATTATAGATATTTTGCGTGATAAGAGTTATGAATAATGTTGTAAGAAAATACGCTTAATGGTGGTTTCCTTTGTAATTATGCGGATGATTTAGGCTTGGTGTGGGTATCTTTATTTTTTGTTTTGTTTTGATTTTTTGTGTAGCTGTTGCTAATACTGTTGGTATGTGTCACTTAAGTGAGTGTCTAAATGACGTCAATGCATTTTCAGTTTTGGTGTTTGAGGATGGTATTGTTTTTGTTGTTGTTGTTGTTCATTTGAGGGAACATGGTCGTTACCCGAGCAGGGCTTGAACCTCGAACGCACGACCCCTGGGTTGAGAGGCGGACACCTTTACGCTCATGCACGGTGGTATGAAAACTGCTGATGGTTGCCTCATAATTTGTTCTGTTTTATTATTATCATTGTTGTTGTTGTTGTTGTTGTTGTTGTTGTTGTTTTTATTATTATTATTATTATTATTATTATTATCATCATCATTATTTTTTTTATTATTATTATTATTCCTACTAAGATTCGCATATTATATTCATCATTTCATCATTTTGCCTGATAAATATGACAGTAATCTGTCAGCTATCTATCTATAAGATTACTAATCTGACCGATCTTATGGTAGAAACAGTGGCACTATTTTTTATGTTTCAAATTGTTAACAGAATTTATCTGTTATTTGGCAGCATTCGTGGGCACTAGGCATCTATTTCTCACAGCCAGATCCGAAACGTATCAGATTAGATGAGAAATTGAATTAGATAGCTTACGTCAAAAATAAATTGGAACAAAAGTAGAAACAGAGATCTGCGTACACTGATTTCAACATCATTAAAATAACCAAATCATTTTCTATAATTCAAGTACATTTTATAGTAGAAATAATCTAATAGTCTAAAGGGCATCCATAAATGTATATGTATACATAGGATAAATGCATTTCCGACATTATGTCAATTAAATATCAAGCATATATTTATCATATAAAGATTTCTAAGGCTGCTCTGTATGAAAATCCTTCTCCTTATTCTGTTCATTGTCATAATGTTTGTATATTATGCATCATGTATGTATAAAGCCAATTGAATGGGATTTTTGTATTAATAAACGATTATTATGGAATGCAAGTAAACGCGAATTCGCTGCAAATTCGGAGCGTATATATACAAATTTTAAGGCTCAACAACGATTTCCTATTTATTTGTTTATTTAATAGATGTTTTCAGTGTACTAACGCACATTTAGGATGTAACAAAAACAATTCACTTCACAGCTCTTTTGTCAAAGTAATATTTCTTAAGTAAAATATAGTTAAAGTACCAATATCCTTATTAACGTAATATCACGTGACGTGTCTTGTTTATGTGCCATACAAGCATAACAATTATCTCGGTTACGAATGCTAAGTACGTACACTAGATAAAATTATACCTGATTTACTTGGAATGCTGATCTGCCGATATTGCCTTTGTTTTCATTTTAGCCACTTTAGATAAACATCCGAAACGAATACACTTTTTAAGATGACATCGACACAAAACTTCGAAACTGCGACACAACACTGATCAAGTCCTCGGAAACAGGCGCTTGATATGACAATATGCGCGGAAAGATAATGCGAAATGTGTTTCCGGTTTAGCGCGTGCCAACGTAAGATGTGGTCCTAGAGATCACTCGAAATCCATCAAATATATACGTTTTTGTGTAGACGACTTCGTCCTTCTTCCTACTTTCCTCCGTAAACACAGCTGTAGAATGTCGAATATTTTCAGTTGAAAATAGGAAGCAAAAATTACAGGCTGTTTCAAAACATTTTGTTTACATTGAACCGTCTTTTCTGCAGCAGATGGTTTAAAAAACAGCTTGCTATTTAGATAGTTAACTTACATATCCTTGTCGATATTTAAGCACAAAGCTTTTATCTCTACATAAACTTAAAAAAATCCTTTCAGTAGAATATTTGCGTATTTATCAAACACATTCGCGCGTTCTGTTATAAATATTGATTTTTCTTTCTCAAAAACAGAATTTGTTGCAGAAAAAATGAGATATGTAAAATTACTCCCGAAATATCCTCTATTAAGATCTCCTCAAAGCTCTGTAAATGGAATACTGCTATAAAATATTTACTATCCTCGGATATGCTGGGACACCTTCTGTCGCTGTTTGCGCTTAGATTACGTTGATCACATCAGGAATGTCTTTCGCGGAGCGGTAAAACTTTTCCTTGCAGACTGTATTAATTTTACGAGAACATGTTTGGCTTATCACAAGTTAAGATCTCGTATCTACTCTGACATGTAAGATTCCACAAGAAAACACCGTATCGCCCCCGATCAACTGATTAAAACACCTACATCCACACTTACTTCAAGGTCTTCTTCACTTTCAGCAAGAAAATGAAAGAAAAGTTTTACAAGTTTTATTGTACGGTGTTTTTATTTTTATGCAAAATTGAGCCACAGTAAGCGATTTCGGTTCTTTTCGTATCGATTTTTCTGGGAGTGTTGTTTTATTATTATTGTTGTTGTTGTTGTTGTTGTTATTATTATTAATATTAGTATTTATTTATTATTATTTTATTTTTTTATTATTATTATTATTATTATTTTAGATCTATTATTTCAAACAACAAAACAATGTCAACAAACATTATTACGTTCTTATAACGACACACGAGTACATTGTAATTTCGATCACTTTTGTAATCATTTTAACTCAAAAAGGACCAAACTCGTTTAGACGCAGTTCTTTGTTTTGAAATTGTTTTACTCTGAACATAATCAATATAACTTCTCGTAGGAGTTTAACATTATTATATTGATTTAGTAGAAAGAATGACAATTCTTGGTGTTTCAGATATCAATATATGGTTTTCAATATGATCATTCAATTATATATTTTAGCATTATATACGTTTCATATCTTCAGAAACCAATATTTTGCAACTCAATATGCGTCTCTTGTCAGAAATTTGTTTCATTATAACTAAAACAAGAAAAGCATTGATGCAAAGCATCAAAGGGCGTCCAAGCAAGAAATGCAGCAAGTGAAGATGAACCTAGATGACCAGATATTCTTAAAAACTTTGCAATGGTTAATTGGTTTTTACCAGAATTGTATAATATTTCTGAATGGCCGGACGAAAGACATAATATGTTTGCATTTTATTTCCTGCAAAATTCTCCAGTACGTTATTTATTACCATAGCGTGACACGAATGACCGTTTCGTTAAACTAAAACTACTTCTATAAATAGATTTTCGGACTTTCACAATGTTAAAGTCATCATTCCATTTATACGTACAGCAATACATAATAACCCACTGTGTACTAAAAAAACCGAAGATTAATTGACGGGTAAGATAATTTCATTTGAATATGTTTGCATTGCGAAATTCTCCAGTTCGCTATTCATTGTACATATCTCGACATTTCATTTTTGATAATCAAACACCCTCATACCAACCGGAATGATCGGCTATTATGACCGACAAAAAGGCCCGAGAAGTTGCAATTGCCCTTTCTCATTCCATATGGGGCGTCGCGCTCCGGCGCGGACGGCAATAAACCCATATTTAGGAAAATGAATTATGTCATAATATGTGATGGGGCGATTGTTATATGCCATTTCGCACGAAAGTACGGAAGTTTTTTCGGGACGAAAAGGCTATAGGTCGAAAACACGACAGACATAGGCCGCAATGAGTTTTTTCTCTGCAAAAAAAATAAAATGCAAAAAAAATGCAAAAAAAAAATGTCAAAAAAACAAAACAAAACAAAAAACAAAGAAAACAACAATAAAATGAACTTTTCGTATCCCTATAGACTAGTTATACATTTTAATGCAACATCCCTCTAGATTCATGTTTTTTTTTTATGAAATTTTTAAAAATGTATTTAATAGTAAAATTTTGTGAATTGAACAAAGAAAGTAATATAGAGTCCATATTAATTACCAAATAAGGGTCAAAATTTGCAAAAAGTCCCCAAAAAGCGTTAGTCACCCAGTAGAAATATGGTAGTTAATACTGCAAAATCAGTCATTAACGGTAAATAACATGTAAATAACTACTTGAATCTTGAATCTGTTTATTTTATTTTTTTTTAAATCTTTGTTCATTTTTCTCAACTATGATTTTCTTGGAATATTTTCGCATGCAATTTTAAATCTACATTTATCTCGATTTTAAACATTTTTATTATCACAATATCAAACTTTTTTATCATTAAAATTAAACGGATCATCTGATAACAAAAATACATAAGAGACTCAATGTTTTATTTTCTTTGATGTTTCCGAAATTCGCAGGAATATAGACATAATGAGATGCAGAATGTGTGCATACATAAAGTGTAAGAAATTCCCATAAATTTTAATTGTAGGAACGTTTCTATTTTTGTAATCAACCGGATATTTTTGAATTTTTGATTATCTGTGCACAATTTTGTTATCATTAGCTTTTTCTTCTTCTTCTTTTTTGTTGTTGTTGTTGTTGCTGCTGTTTAGTGGTTTTTTTTATTATTTTAATTATTATTATTATATTATTATTATTATTATTATTATTTCTTCTTCTTATTATTATTATTATTATTATTATTATTATCATTATTATTATTTTTATTATTATTATTATTATTATTATTATTATCTAAGATAAAAGAAATAAATCACCTATTCAATTTCAGACTGTGTTTTAAGTTATCGTTATGCATGTGGTCCTCAAAAATAGAATCGCGCAAATTACCCGCGAATCCGAGATCAATGCAAGCCTGAGCTAGCAGGTACTGTTTATAGAGACCGTGCGACCAGAGCACACCGAGATCGGCCGGCACACCTCTGCCGTCTAATCGTGTACTGCACTTTTCGTTATTCATATTTAAAAGAAAATATCTTTAAAAAATAATAAATAGTTTTGTCAAAATTGAACAAGAGCGATCAGTAATCACATGTGTCGCCTCATGATGGCCAATTTCATGTTGGGACAAATTTTGTGACAGACGGACAGACAGACGGACAGTGCACAACTGGACTTGGTACTGATCATTCCTGTAAAGTTTGGATAAAATTGCACCAGTAGTTTATTAGGAGTAGTCCGGACAAGCTTTTGCGTATCTGGCAACACACAGAAAAAAAACACCTTTTTATCAAAGGGCCATAACTCGGCCAAAAATCATTCAACCGGAAAACCCGTGCAATATGCGCAAGGACTTGAGCTACAGATCAATCCTGTAAAGTTTCATTGAAATTGCATTAGTGGTATAAGAAAAGTAGTCCGGACAAACTTTAAAATTAAAAATTATTAAAGGGCCATAACTCAAACAAAAATCATTAAACCGGAAAATTCTGACAATATGCACAACTAGACTTGGTACTGATCATTCCTGTAAAGTTTGGATGAAATTGCACCATTAGTTTATGAGGAGTAGTCCGGACAAGCTTTTGTGTATCTGGCAACACACAGAAAAAGAAACCTTTTTATCAAAGGGCCATAACTCGGCCAAAAATCATTCAACCGGAAAACCCCTGCAATATGCGCAAGGACTTGAGCTACAGATCAATCCTGTAAAGTTTCATTGAAATTGCATAAGTGGTATAAGAGAAGTAGTCCGGACAAACTTTAAAATTAAAAATTATTAAAGGGCCATAACTCAAACAAAAATCATTGAACCGGAAAATGCTGACAATATGCACAACTAGACTTGGTACTGATCATTCCTGTAAAATTTGGATGAAATTGCACCAGTAGTTTATGAGGAGTAGTCCGGACAAGTTTTGTGACGGACGGACGGACGGACAGACAGACAGACGGACAGACGGACAGACAGACGACGGAGAAGTGATCCCTATATGTCGCCACTTCTCCGTAGAGGCGACACAAAAATGGTCAATTTAAGATATATGGCGGAGAAAGTGTTAAACTTATTGCATATAGAAAGCGTTCAATATTTCACCTCTTGCTATGTTAGGACATACCACGGCGCAATCTTTCATCTTCTTCATATTCCGATAAATAATGAGGTAAGGAAAATTCGAACAGTTCCCTCTTAATCATGCCTTAGTTCCACACAAAACACATATGTCTGTAATTGAAATTCTTGCTTAAAGTCTCCACTCAAATTGAAAATACTTGATGACTTGCATGTTGTTAGAACATTATTGCGTGTTCTAGTTACATTACATTTCCACCTGCAGATTCGCTACAATAAACTCAGAGCCAAACATTTCCATTATTTTACGGTGAGAACTCTAAACACGCGATGACCCTACAGCCTCTATACAGGCACGTTGCATATGTATTCCACCCCAGCGCATGGTTTGTAACGATGCCAGATTTACGAGTATCTGTTTTGGCATGTTCGTTTCCGTTTAATTATTCATTTTAAAATACAAAAAGCGAGCTGATTCATCGGGTATATTTAGTTACATGGAATTCAATTCAGTAATTTTGAAACAAATTTTCATTATAACAGAAAGATGGAATGAAAGAACGTCAATTTTCTTACGTCGTTTACGTCATGTTTGTTTACGTTATTTAAATTGAAAAAAAGTGTCTTTATACTTATCTAAAGTAAATTTTAGTTCATGTGCCTCTCACCATTATTAAAAGATATATTTATGTTTTGACTGATAAAGAAATGTTGTAATGCTGAATTTGTTTACAACGTAGACTTTTTACTTTCTTCTTAGTATATATATCGACAAAGAAACTTCAATAAGTTCGTTATTTATTAAAACATTGTATGTGATTTTTGACTGACAAACTTAAAACTTTGTTTTATCTTTTAATTGTCCGAATTATCTTTTATTTGTCCGAATTTCTTTTTCTTGTTTTTTTCTTGTTATTTCTTTCTTTCCTTTTTTCTTTCTATCTTTTCTTGTTTTTCCTTTGTCTGATCTTGAAATACTTATAGTGATTTTTATAGAATATGACCGTTGCATTTGAGCGATTTGAGCGAAACAGTTCGTGGAAGATGTCACGTGGTTTACGTCTTTATGATTAAGATAAAGTTTGGCAAACCCATATCAACAATCTGCGTTTTCTTTTCTTAGAATATCAAGGTTCAATAACAACATTTTATGATTTAATGAAACCCATGTGTCAGATATATGATTTCAAACAGCTTTGTTTGTTAGCATTATTGTTTATTTATAGTTTTAGAGGCAAAGTTCGCATGCTGATTATTTATTCCGACTGGCATATTATGCTCCTGTATTGAGATAATGCTCCTATATTGAAGGCATACATGTTTATATAGGTGTATGTATTCGCCCCAATGCCACTTTCACTTATTTAAAGGTCCACAATGCCCCAGAATTTATTTTATTTTCATTTCTCAAAAGCATTTTATTTTTGGAGTCCTGTTTAAGTTAAAAAAAAATACTCATTGGCCAATGACCTGAACCATCTTTTGCCTCTTTGCTCAAATGGTACAGTTGAAGTGATTTAAAGCTTAGACTTTTGTTTGGAATTCAAAAATATTACTTTGTTCACATTTTGCTATTTTTATGATAAAAAATTCTCATTCCGCGCTACTTTCTCAATGTGACAATTATTTAACATACTCTATAACCATTATTTAAACGTTAAAAAAAACTCATGAATGTGTCATGCCAGAAGAAATTATTGTATTCCGTTCCGAAGCATAATGTGCCTTTAAAACGTGCACGATTGCTAATGGTTTTACAAAACTTAAGCATGCAAAACGTCCAGACTCAACTTGGTGTGTAACAAGTTAAGATTGCATAAAAATATGTATTGGACTTTTACAAGGAATTTGTTGTTACAATTTGAGTTGATAAAGTTCAAGACCCAATCAGGACTTAAGTGTTCCACTCATTGTAGTAAGGCTATACACATTAACGTCAATTTGAATGACTCTTCATTTTCCGCCTGTGGTTGAGGGATTGTCTCTAAGCGCTGAGGCATCAGAACTGCAGCCACCGTTTATCCCTTCGTAAACGTAAGAGGCGACGGAATGGGTTCGAATTACTGTGAGTCTGTGTACCTTTTAGCTCAAGCAGGAGAGGTGGTTTTGACCCCTGGTGCTGCTTAAATTTTAACACATTTTTTTAAGCAAAATCATATTTCCTATTTCGGCACAAATGACCTAATTTGTGTTAGTGCGCCGTAAAACCAAACCAAACAGAACAAAGCCAACAAAGACTTCATTCGACTTACAATCCTTTTCATAATTGATTTACAAACTGATAACATCTCGTGCTATAGCAGAATCACGTGTACCTTATTGCTATGCACGTGAAAATGACACATAGTTACAAAATTTAAAATACTTGTAACTAACAATTATAGATCAAAGTCATCCATACTGGTATATGCATTAAAACGAACCAAAAAAAAACAACAAAAAAACAGTCCTATACTTTAGTTTAGGTACGGCCTAGTATAATTTCAAACATTTCGTTGAAAAAAAGGTCTCATATTGGACCGACATCTGAAACAATTATTGTTGTACAATACTTCATATACTAGTATATTGATATATACATGTATTTTCTCACCAAGAGAAGTCCCTTTTGAAAAGACTACATCACACGGAGCTTGACAAAGTAGAGAAAGAAATATGTTTGGTATTTTATACAATAGTGAACCAATGTCAATTGCTGTATAATGTTTGTAAACAGATATGTTTATGTCGTAATAGACGTATAACAAATGCTTTGTTTTATATGTATATCATTTTCCTAACGACACCAAATACCGTGTCGGATGTCGCAAAATCCATTTGCGTGCTAGAAATTGAAAACTAGACCGCTGTTAACTTAACTCCGTGTGAATACGCTCCACTCCTTTCAGTTTTACTTTATTGTTTCCTTGTCTTCAATATTTAATAAAGACAATATACAACGCGTCCGTTTATTTCACACGAAACGATTTACAAGATGATATTGGATATGTAAGGAAGAACTTCATGAAATGGATGTTGTTTCCAAGAAATTTACAGCCGATGCGGTCACATGTTTAATTTAATCAAAATGAAAATATCACCATGCCCAATGTTGAAATTCGGCACAACTTGCCTTTTTCCATATAAGGTTAACTTGGACAACAAAAACAAATCAATATGGTGGGTGATTTACGCCATGACATATTTGTGCATCCAAAAATGCAAAAACAAGAAGGGATGACAAAGTTTGACCTTGTCGAGTTTTCGAATATTTGAATTTTTGGTGGGTGATTTACGCCATGATAGCCATGACGAAAGTGTGCATCCGAAAATGCGAAAACAAGAAGGTTCGACAAAGTTTGACCTTGTCATTTTTTTCGAATACATGTACATTTGTGTATTTGAATTTTTGAGTCGAAAATACGAAACCTCCAAAATGCGAAAAGACAACAAAGAACGGCGTCAATAAGACATAAACTTGTGACGAGTTTTTGCACTGGTCGCAAAAGTGCTAGTCGCGTTGATTTTTCTTTAAATATATGGATACTACATTGCGTAAATAAAAAAGATTGAACATATTAAGGCCAAATCAATGCAACTAGCACCTTTGATCTGTCCTGTCTTTCCCTTTTTTGTGGCAGAAAATACGGAAAAAAATGCGAAAAAATAAAGATATGAAAAAGTCAAACGCAATTTCGCCTTTTTGCTTTGTTATAGTTTTGCTTTTTGGCATTGTTGCATGGTCGCATTTTGTAGTTCGGTTGTACAGGATCATGAGCATTTATGAATGACGCTTTATGACCGAATTAGTTACTTTTAAGCAATTTATTTGTTAATTACACATACTGCCGCATATGGCATATGTGTAATAGATCTGAACACGACTAACCATAACGCGAAGATGCGAATACAAAAATGCGAAAAAGCAATGCGATAATGCAAAAATGAGTCAATGTAACATTGTAAAAAAGCAAAAATACAATAATGCGAAAATACGAAAAAGCAATGTGCAAAAATGCAAAGACGCAACAAATAAGGGGGTACACTATGCACTGTATGGATCGTACTTTTTGCTAATTTTATTGTCCTTTGGCTTTTTCGCCTCGAAAATGCGAAAATTCAAAATCAAGAAAAAGTCGAAAAGGTCAAAGTTTGTCGTACCTTCTTTTTGTTGAAATACTTTTGCACTTTCATGGCGAAAAGTAAAATACGATATGACGTAAGTCAGGATTCGTAACTCAGTGAATTCCAAAAGTCACGAACAACAACACCATTATTGTCATAGACGTCCGGAATATTTCGCTACTATCCGTTTCCGTAAAGATCAAACAAGGGTTGATATAAGAAGGAGCAACAAAAAAATCATGTTATTTCAGCACTGTCACAAGCCATCAAGTGAGTAGCGATTTTTCGTCTTTTATTTACAGTTAAAATCAATATTAACATTCTGTATCGCTTTAAAAACAAATTTTGAAAATATTTATTTCTATTCTAGCTGAAAATTTACTTATTAGATCATCATCATCGTCATCATCATCATCATCATCATCATCATCATCATCATCATCATCACCATCATCAACAACAACACAGCCACTATCATTATAATCATCATATACACCATAATGATATACATAATCACCATCACTATCAAAACAATCGTCACCATCATCAACAACAGCATCACAACCACCATAATCATCACCACAACCATAATCATCATTACAACCACCATAATCATCACCACAACCATAATCATCATTACAACCACCATAATCATCACCACAACCATAATCATCATTACAACCACCATAATCATCACCACAACCATAATCATCATCACAACCACCATAATCATCACCACAACCATAATCATCATCACAACCACCATAATCATCACCACAACCATAATCATCATCACAACCACCATAATCATCACCACAACCATAATCATCATTACAACCACCATAATCATCACCACAACCATAATCATCACCACAACCATAATCATCATCATCAATTAAAAATAATTATATATTTCTATTCTAGGTGAAAAGTATTTGTTAGATCATCATCATCATAATATTTATCATCACTACCACCACCACCATCATCATCATTATCATCACCATCATTTTCATCATTTTCATTATCATCAATTCAACATTAATATCTTTCTTACTACTTTCTTCTAATTTTTTCTCATAATCATCTCAATTTTCATGTTTATCATCCTGTATATCAAAATGTTTATCATCCTTATTTCTTCCATTGTTTTGTTACAAAGTATATCAATTCTTTTTTTTTATCGACATGTAAAACAAATATGTTAGTCTAGCCTGCCATGGATGTTAACAAACAAAAGAAGCTGCACGACACGACAAAGAGAACGAGAGATCGGCTGATTACTTGATAAACCTATTTGCAACTTCCGAATTGAAACAATTTCTTCCTGATTCATCGATACATTAACATCAAGTGATACAGAAACCTCAGTATCTGTGTGAACCTTGAAGAGTGCGAGGGTGCGTGATTAATAAATAGTGACTTATAAATCATATTTTAAACGGTGAAGCGTGCGGTTAACGTAATATTGTATATAAGTAATTGTCACAGTATTCGATTCACACGTGGATTTGAATATTTAAAAATGAATTCATTTGTTAGAAATAATTTTAATACTATAAAAAAGGGATCTTAAATTTGAAGAATTTATGCAAGGACTTTGTTTTATACATGTGATATAAATGTTTTAAAGGGACAGTCAGAGCTGTATATATATAGTGTATTGGATTTTTAGCTAGTAACTCGTGCAGGAGACAATCCCGACTAATTTGGACATTAAATTTTAAAACGTGTGTCTTTATATCTATTCCAATACTTATGTCTAGAGACTTTCATCACTTATGTCTAGTAATCTGAAATACGAGAAAATGAAGAAGAAGTACGAATTCCAAGACAAGAGAAGTTCGTGCATTAAGTGTGTGCTCGTTGGGGACGAGGGGGTCGGTAAAACAAATTTGGCCTCTCGTATATCATCGAGAAAATTCAAAGAAGAATACATTCCGACTGTATTTGACAATTATGCAGGTAAATATTTTATTAAGTTTTCTAAATGAAGGAAAAGAAATGACGAATCATGATAATCTCGACTTTTTTTCTCTTTTTTTTTTAGTCTTTTTCTTTTGTTACTTTTTGTTGTTGTTTTGTTTTTGATTTTTTTTGTATTAGTATTAAAGATAATTTCTGACAGCTATATAGGTAACAAAACCTGTATAGGGTGAAGAAAGTGCGAGTGTTTTTATTACTAATATATTATCATTTGAAACTTCTTATTTTAAAAAATGCATGGAAATCCATAGGTTTTAGAGTAATTAAGATACCTTAACTTGCCTTTACTTCATAAATGCCAAATTACATTTCAAAATATCCCCCAGTGAGTTATGAAAATATCGTTCATAGCATTTATATCTGACATTTATGAGTTTTGAAGGTTATTACATTCATTTTTATATTTGTAATATAAAATTTAAAACTACGATTCAATCCACGGCTTCATTTCTATGTATACTTATTTTTTACAATCCTTTAAGTTACACATGAGTAAAACCAATGCATGATATGTATTAAACAAATACTGTTTAACCGATTTTGTTTGTTTAAAGGGATGATAATCATCCTGATATAACTAGAATACCTTTAAGTCTTAATGACCTAGCAATAAAAGTATGGTTACACACAATATAAAATAATATAAAGTCTGCAGTATAAGCAATATCACCGACTGTTTTAACAGATGATACTTACATGAGTCAGGCAGACATAACCTGCGGTTCACATAGAAACATAATCAATGAAACATAGGTGCAGTCCTCTCTCTCTCGTGAGAAAATTAATGACTATACAGCCAGCGGCGTAGACTGCACATTTAATTAATACTCTCCTCTTTACATGTCTCGAACTTAAGACCGGTATCAAACGTTCGAGCAAAATAACTTGTGTCCGGCGAATAAAAAGGGTATTTCGTTCTTTATGCTCTGTGTATGATACTTATTTAGTTATAATTATTGTATTATGTATGTTCTAAATGATTAACAATCTGTAATGCTTAAATCGGAAATAAATTTTCTTGTTAGGTTCTGTTCCGTTCAGTTCTTTAAACTGTAGTTATCCTAAAACCCATGGATTTCTAAGTACTATATAAGTTCAATTTTTGACCACGTTAAAAAACGTAAAATCTCAAGAAAAAACGTGCCAGCTTTCGACTTAATATATAATGGTTTTATGTTAATGCATCTATGGTATTTGTCGTACACATTTTTTATATTGAAGTATAAAGTTTTGAAAAAAGAAAACTATAATTTTAATTATTCGATACTTTACGACAAAAAAAAGCGATACTATATTTTGCTATAAAACAAAAACGTACTGACAAGTTTATTAAAGACCCTAAGGTGATTGAACATATCTTAAGTTTGAGTCGGCGTCTTATTGAAATGAGTAAACATAAAAGTATTGACGGTTTACCAATAAAATTTTAATTATTTTGTTTTTAAATTCTCATTAACCCATTTTTTTCTCGAAAATTATTACTTATGCGGCAAAGGTTAAAGTTCTACTAATTTTTCAGTCGATCGGGATTTTTGTGTGTGTGTGTTTTGTTGATGTTGTTGATAATGTTGTTGTTGTTGTTGTTGTTGTTTTAAAAGACACTGATTAATTTATTTATTTATTTATTTATTTATTTATTTTTCAAAAGTAATTGCTAAGTACAAACTTATCATGAACTTAAATTAACGTAAGTCGCCATTCAAATGTTCTGTTTACTAACGCACTTTGAAATTAACTTAAACATGTATGTATCTTTATTTTATACGGGATTCAACAGTAAATTTCGATTTTTCGAACCTTTGAAAATGGCTGCATGTAAATGAGCCGCGTCACGACAAAACAAACATAGTGCGTTTGCGACCAGCATGGATCTAGACCAGCCTGCGCATCCGCGCAGTCTGATCAGGATCCATGCTGTTCGCCATCAGTTTCTCTACTTGTTATAGGGTTTGTAAGCGAACAGCATGGATCCTGATCAGACTGCACGGATGTGCAGGCTGGTCTGGATCCATGCTGGTCGCAAACCCACTATGTTGGTTTTGTCATGACGCGGCTCATATATATATGATAACCAGACAATAAATAAATACACTTCAATTCTGAATAATTCATAACTACATTTCTATTTCAAAGTAACTTATCGATTGTAGCGTTAATTTAATTTTACGCACATTTTAGTTAATCATTTTAAACAAATGTCATTAAAATGCTACCAATTTCAATTCAATGATTTTAATATAAATATGAAATTTTAGGTATCTGATATATTTGATAGTTCATTCATTATTCAGGAAAAGCACACTTTAATTAACAAGTTTGGTTTTGATTGGCATAAAACAAACAACAAACACAAACAACAACAACAACGTCAAAAACTACCACAAACACGTAGTTATTGTCGATTTCGTATCATGACGTAATAGCTAATGGTTATTTTGATACGATACGATACGATATGATGTGATATGATACGATATGATATGATATGATACGATATGATATGATGTGATGTGATACGATATGATATGATATGATATGATGTGATACGATACATACGATGCGATAAGCATAACACAATAAGCACAGCGTTGCACTGCACTGCACTAAACTACAATACAATACAATACGCACTGCACTGCATCGACTACACTACACTACAATGCAATACAATACGTACTGCACTGTACTGTACTGTACTGTACTGCAACACAATACAATACAATATAATACAATACAATACAATACAATACAACAAAGGAAATACTATAAAACAATACAATAAAAACAATACCATAAAAACAATACAATAAAAACAATACAATAAAAAAACAATACAATAAAAACAATACAATAGAATAAAGTTTTTTTTCAGCAAAAAAACATAGCATACAGAGCACAAAAAGAACTTTGTTTAGTATATACATGTATATTTATTTTTCTTCCGCACTTGTATATAACATGAACTTTATATATACTGTTTAGCTAATCAATAAAAATAGGTGCAGTACTCTCGAATCAAACCGCTATACTTGATAAAGACGTTATAAACTACTATATAGCTACTTAGTATTCCATTAACTGTTGTAAAAACCAACAACTGTTGTATTCATCATTATTATTCATAAAGTTTCAGTGAAGCTTGGAAAATAGGCTAGGCATTATAACACTTTGTATGATGGTGACACTGTCATTTTTATTGCATTGCACTCTTACTAAAGTGAAACGTCAGGAAAAATATTAATTTCCTAAGTATTTACATAATTCTCATTTTTCGTAATGTTATGTTAAACCATCCTTATGTAATGACCTTTTCCCTTGAAATAAAGTTTGATCTATAGGAAAGGCAAATGTTTTAAGTTACATTAAAAAATGTACACTAAAGATTCACCTTAATTTGGTATAAACGAAATCTATATACGAAACTGAATTTGAAACATTTTAGGCATCGGGAATGTTTGAGCAATTAAAACAGTATCAAATTATTTCAGAAAGACAATAATTTTTTTAATAATTCTACATTATTACAAAATAAAAAGTGGGCATTTGTTATATAACATTCTGAAGGTCGCGTGTTAAAATTATGACCTTTTGTGTTGACTCGCCGTAAAATCCAACTCGCCCACTTATCTTCTATCGCAATTCTAAAAGAGACTTGGGTAATTAGCAAGGTGAAATGAATGACTTTTTAAGACCGGTGTCCAGCTACTCGGTGGCTGATTTCTAAATATTTTTTTCTCAGCTGTCACATTAATTTTATACTAAATCGAAATATAGCTTCAGAGTTCATGTTTTAATCATTTACGCTTTGCGTATAGGTTGTCAAAGTGTTGATATAAAATCTACCAATGCAATCTATGACATTTGTTTAAATGTGTGGTTTCAAAAAAGGACAAACAAGTGCATTCAAGATTATTTTTTCATGTAATGAAACGTTGAGCAATCTTTGAAAGAAATCCTGCAATCGTCCGAAACAGTTTTGTAACAAAAAATCTTAACAATGTTTTTACTTCTCCGCAATGAATTAAAGGCACATTGTGCCTCAGAAACAAACAAATGTTACTTCTTTAGAAAGGGCAAAGATGATTTTTATAATGTTTAAATAATGATTTTTGAGAATGTAAGATACTATTTGAAGAAAGTAGCGATAAAGATGACATTATTTGTCATAAAAGTAACAAAATGTAAACACAGTTTATAGTATTTTGACTTCCATACAAAATACTAATTCACTATAACTGTACTTATAGCCAAAAAGCAACAATATTTATGAAAAAGATGGTTCAAGGTAATTGGCCAATGAGTAACTTTTTGGATACTTTAAGAGTACACCAAAATTAAAAAGTTTTGAGAAATAAAGATAAAAATTTGCGAGGCATAATCGGCCTTTAATATTGTTATTGAAGTACTGCAACTTGCAAGTTTACAGAAATTTCGTATTTGTAGCTAGGGTTTTGTATAGTGAAAAGTTTAAATGGAAATTGTTCGGACCTTCGAGATCTATATTAATTCGTACTAATATTTTTCGAAAATTCTATATTTGTACTTTTATACGTTGTATATTGCTCTAAATTTCTTTAGAACTTAATCCGCTTGGAAATGACCTTTATTTTTGTTTACCGTTCGGATATTGCTCGAAATTTCTGAGCTTAATTCGTTCGGATAATTATGGCTCTGTTAGTTTTGTCGTTATTCGTTTAGATATTGCTCTAAATTTTCGTAGTTGTGCGTTTGGATATTTCATTAATTTTCTGGCGTTACCGGTTTGGACAATACTCAGATTTTCTGGTGTTATCCGTTAGGATATTGCTCGAAAATTTTGTAATTGTCCGTTTGGAAAATGTTCTGATTTTCTGAAGTTAACCGTTCGGAAATTGTTTAGAAGTTTTGTTAAACTTTGTTACATATTTTATAGTTGTCTCATAAATTAACATTAAACATGTAAAATGTGTCACAAATTATTCCGAGAGGCTTAAAACAATTGAGTTTAAGAGATGTATTGCGTACGGAAGCCAAGCTGCATCCTGCTTTCATAAAATCAACAGGAAATTTAAAAGTTTAGAACACTTAACTACAATGAGATTTACCATAAAGTTTTGTTCACGCCTTGGCCAAAACTTGAATAGGTCATAATAACACAGGGTTACATCCTGTACGACTTTCTTTAATGAGTTGTTATAAATACATGTAATATAAAGGTCTCTGACCTCAATCACGTACCTCTTACAGACATGGGTTCCAAGAAGACTTGATTTATTTCTCATATAAGGAAGTTATATCATCAACTTACAGAAAGTGGGTAGTTATATATAGTATTACCTATATATAGCGTCTGCTTGTCCTGAAACTGAAACATTTCCGATGTAATAAAAAGCTAAATCGATATACGTTGTTGCATTTGAAGACTAAAGTGAGTGTGCTTCTTACTATGGTGGCTGATTTCTGCCATCTTATCGTGTCTTTGCCTTCGACTTTTGAGGGGCGAGAACACAAAATGGCAGAAATCAGCCACCATATCTTACAGAACAATGTGATTGATATCCAATCCAATCCCTTGCCTTCAAACTTCGGTTCACCACCAGGAGGTGTTCCGAATGTGAAATATCATGCAGTATTGATACTAACCCAATCACATTAAACCGACAAAATGTTACTAGTTCTAGAACTTTCATGTTATCTTGTAAACTGCAGGTGTATATAGATCTATAGCTATGTCTTAAAACTTATAAAAATATTGTTATATTTCAGCTACTGTGATGCTTGACCAGAAGCCATTCCACTTCAGTCTCTTTGACACAGCAGGCAAAGTGAGTACTCTTAATTAGAACTTAGTCCGTAATCGCAGTCGGTAAATTCCGGCAAGTAACGTATCTAACGTCATTTATTACACCATTCTAGATAGGGCCGATCAATTTCATGCAAATGAATATTTAATAAAATGTCTTAATGTAAAACAAAAACAGTTACAGTATTGAAATATATTTTATAAGTATTTCATTTAAGTTCACTAAAGTTCAAACAAAGCCTTTTACAGTTGGTATCAATGCATAGTTATCATTGACATTATCACGGACTTTGCCAGATAGTCCTATAGGGCCTTATAAGCAACGGCTGAAAATGACGCACTGTTAGCTTATTGAATGAACGATATAGTCGTAATAGTTATTGTATCATACACATGTATAAGAAATTGTCTAATTTATTTTACAGGAGGACTATGATAGACTACGTGTTATATCATATATGAACTGTGATGTATTTGTGATATGTTTTTCTGTGATAAGCCGGGAGTCCCTGGAGAGCGTAGAGTCACACTGGGTACCCGAAATCAAACATTACCTGCCTAAAACACCGTTCGTCCTGGTCGGGACACAAATAGACAAAAGAAATGTACAGGATAGTAATGGGGTAAGTTGCAGCATAAAGTTTATCTTGTGAATGCTTTTTGTCTTATTTCGGTTTATTTAGAAATTATATATGACAAATCTATAATATTAAAATATATATATTTCATAATACAAGATCCGTACAATTAGCTCTTGCAATGTGCTTGAGTCAATTATTTATATATCTAAACTACCTTTGTAATTACACCATGGAGATAAATATACATATATATCTGTAAAAACATGAAGTAATTAAACAGTCTTTTGTGATAATTTAAGGTACTCAATATGTTTGTAATGTCCAAAACAGTGCATGTATCCAATAAATACCAAAGTGACTTCTTTATCTGTAATTTACTTTCATAATTGAACTTTAACAGGTTAATTCCAAACCGGAAGTGTCTTTCAAAGAAGCCATCGAAGTAGCAAACAGATGTGGTGCAACCTCGTATGTCGAATGCTCATCAATGTCGTCAGATGGTATTAGTGACGTCATTAGAGAAACCATAGAAACAGTACAAAAAGCATATGATTGTAGATCGAATAAGGGCAATTGCTGCCATTGCGCCCTGATCTGAACATCTGGTGCTGTAAATCTTGTGCGATAATACTGTAACAACCTCAAATATATGCGATCCCAAACTGCGCATGCGTGTGTTTGAAATTCTTCTTCCGGTCTTTGACAATGACGCATATTCAAAGAAAATGAAAGAATCTTAAAACGTGGAGGTTATTAATTTAATAGTTTTCTTCGTTCGCGCGAAATAACAGTGCCTGTATTGAATACTTCAGGGGATTAAAATAGAATATCAGAATACCAGAGCTTTTAAGACAGTACATCTATTTCTGAGATAAATATTGCAAGAAAGTGTTATTTTATCCGCCTTCGGAAGAGCAGACCTATAGATGATTCTGTTTGTTTGACATGTTACTAGTCATAATTAATTTTGTATGCAGACATAATGCCGTATACTAGGGTAGTCTGGCACGTGAAATTGATAGTGATTTATAGACTATAGTGATTTATGGGATATAATCAGTGTACTTTATGTTTGTTATAACACGATAAACTGATATTGAACTGACTTACTGTACAAATATTTGATATATAGAGCAATATTTTACAATCGGAATGACTAGACGCGAGAACAGCTTTATTACAGTCTACATTCTGCCGCTTGATTAAGACCAGTCTATAACTTTGGCGTCCCATTGGCTGATTACAAATTCAAACATTAAAAATGGACCAATGAAATCAGTTCTTTGTGGACTGGAACTATTTTACTTTCAAAACAGGCGTGTGAGAATAGTAAATGTATTGCAAACTTATGCCGGCTCGCCACGGCGAGCCGGTATTACGGTAGGATTTTACTGAGAAACAACCTAAAACTCCGAAGCTATCCAAAAATTTAATCGAAGCTTGGCTTCCAGCTTTCTACAAAATTTATCTATCAGGGCTAGGATCCAAAATTATTTAGCCAATCAAATTTAATCTTACATAGCGTCAAAAAACCTTCAATTTTCACGCCATTTTTAAAAATCAGCAAGTATTGTTTTGAGCGCAAAGATATAATGATGATTAAAATGTTTGTCTTTATGAATTCTTTACAATAAATCATATTTACACTGACTTCTGATTTAGCGATTTCACCTGTTTTCTCTGTAGTAAGTTTTCGTTTGGTTAATTAACATAAGTGTACATCTGGTTCTGTGCATTTTTTATTTTTCCTTTTTTCCGGTCATTTTATCCTTTCCGGTATTTAGTGTATGTATTTACTGGCCGGGATCCGGGACGCCCGGGATCCGGGATCGTATAAGATATGGAGGAAAAACCTAATGAACTATATTTGTGTTGATTGTTGTCGTAATGAAAGGCCATTAAACGTTATTTTTTTTATTGTATATAATGAACGTTAAATTAATTTAACTTAGAATATAGATATATTTAGAGCTATTTATTAACAAACTTAAAATGCCGAAATCACAATACTTATAATTATATGCCTAATTAATTGGAAAAATCAAAGACTATTTTCTTGAATTGGTCAAATCCCGGGATCCCTATATGTTTTAAAACGATCCCAGCTTTTCTGAAAACTTTATACTTGAACTGGCCAATCCGTGAGATCTATTTACATTTTAATACGATCCCGGCTTTTCTGAAAACTATATTCTTGAACTGATCAATTCCCGGGATCCCTATATGTTTTAATAGGATCCCAGCTTATCTGAAAAACATCTTCTTAGACTGGTCAATTTCCGGGATCCCTATATTTTTTAATAGGATCCCGGCTTTTCTGGCTGAATTGATTGACAACTTGTGTTTACTTTAGGACTTGTGCCTCTCATTCCAATACTAAATAACATACATGTATTACAACTTAATTTTGTATAAAGAGACATCTTTATGAAATCTACCTATCTAACATTTTGTGGTCAAGGTCAACAGGCAATATAGTAAATGTGCATAGACATAGGTTCTTCATTCAATCTGTTTACATGCACCTTCATATATACTCATACTCATCTTGGTTAAACTGAGAGAACTTTATATGTCACTTTCAGTCAATGAGTTTAAGATTTTGAATTTACTGGCCCGAATTCCAGTTTTGAATTTATTCTACTAAATAATTAACAAAATTTTCTTAAATTTACACTGGCCTGAACTTATATACACTGGCCATCGGGCACCGGGCCAGTGTTGACTTCACTTTTATTATGATGTTCGCTGAAGTCTCTTCAGCTTACAGAACTGTCATTTTTACATTTAAACACACCCCTTGAAAAAAATTACGAAGCGAGTCGCTACTAGCTTTTTTAAAAGCTAACCTTGTTCTGTGATTTATATTGTTTTAAATGTGATATTTGTTAATAGAAGCAGGTTGACTGACCTATAAATGTTTGTCACGTAGTGTGACAATACCATGTAAATGGGAGTTCTGACATTGTGTCAAAACTATAAACATTTCTTTGAGTTTATCATAATTATAGTCGCTATCATTTATACATGTATCATGTTATATATTATCTCTTTAACTTTAAAAGTATAAAATATGTTTCATTTTAATCTGCCATTGTTATTTGACAACATTTTACATGCGTTCCAGTACAATAAATGATACTGAATTTTCAATGGTAAATAGCTTAGTCTATTTCAAAACAAAGTTTGCTTCCCTGTAATTGAAAGCAACACATACAATTTGAAATCAGATCAAGTAAGCATGTGAAAAAAGGACCCTAAACTGTTAAAAAGTGATGGTCTAGTCCAAGTGTTTTGTAGAATGATAATTTTAATTATCAACAGTTACATGTTAATGGAATGCAAATATTTTTGTATAAATAAACTGAAAAAAAAATGAAATTTTATTGGTCTGTTTTATACATACTACTGATATTGGTGTAACAACCAATTCATACTTAATCCATGCAATCGCCAAATACTAGTGTACTGAAGATAAATTTTCTATTTGCCCGAGTCTTGTGGTAAGAGGTAAGTGTAGCTACGGGGACCTTAACTTTGCCAGAGTTATTCCGCCAATAAAATATGTCCCAAGTTATATTATAATCCCTTTAATGCACATACCATACGTCAAGTGTGCTACGTACAAACGTTTTCCTCTGATCTCTAAAGTGTGACCTTTACATGTGCTCGGCACAAAGTCTCATGGCATACATGTATGTGTACATCCATCCAAGACATGCTCCGGACAAAATAAGGACATTTCATCATGTCTGATGACCTTGATATTGCATATATTGACCTTGGTTATGCTGGTAACACTCAGTCTTATGATCATGAAGATTTCTTTAATAATCTTTCAATTCAAGACTACAAAATTGTACGAACACACATTTAAATACTTTTGTTTTGACTTTTGACCTCTATGTTCTATGTCTAACCGTGACGACCTGAATTAGTTTGACCTTTACCTTTGATAAATAGACCTGTTCGTCTAACTCCTATGAGACACTATCACGGACTTTCCCTTCATATGAAAAGGGTTAAATCGAAGACTAAACCAATAAACCATGATGTGACACCATTTACCCGGCTTTGTCTTACTAATTAGAATGGAATTTGGTACAGTCAATTGTAACATTAAGGGCTTTGAATCTTAATGACATTATACATGCAAATTTTATAGACTGACCTGGCTTAAATATACTTAAAGAAATGTCATATTATTACATATACATATAACAGTATTTGGTAATATGCCACATTTGTATTAAATATAATATGTTACCAGCATTGTTTAATCTGTGACTGAAACTGGCGAAATTCACATAATGAAATATAAAGAGTTGCTTCTTTCTCCCATTTAAATTAACTATTCAATTACTGCTATTTTTACGATAAACAGGGTGAATTCCACAAGCCCATTCTTATATGGTACTAAGGGAGAGTACTCAAACAACAAAAAATAATAATTCGCTCATTTGTAACTGAACATGCTTGAACAATCTTAAGGTAAATGGAATAGCCAAATTTCCCTGCATCACTTTATACGCTATTTCCTTGCTATATAATATTTGGCGTAAAACAATTCACTCAGTAGAACCGGGTCAATAAGTTATGAAAACTCATTTCCCATACCATCACATAGAGGTACACAAATCTGAATTATAAATGACTGATGCATTGACTGATGCATATTTGTTTTTGTTTGTTTTGGGTTTTACGTCACATCGACACAGACTGATGCATATGTCAAAACAAAGACATAATGCTGTAATTGTTTCCATACAAAACAAATCATGGTAGATATAAACTATACACATTTTTATTTGAAAATGCCGAAAAATTCTTCTTACATTATAATATATTACACAATGATTAGTCAGTCTCCACGATGTACATTGATTAATATGAAACAGTGATTTATGAAATATGGAAGGATATTATTTAACTTAAACATACATTTTCACCACAACTATCAAAATTTTCACATTTTCACATGTTCTATGACATAATAATTATGATGACATCACAAAATAATGCTCAGTAAGTCAAAATAATGAAATAACTCACATACTCCCATAATCAAATACAGTAATAAAGAAAACCTTTCAATGAGAAAAAAAATTGCAATTTTTGTTAAATTTGTTTATCAAGCCAAAATATCATAACCCATACACCCCGTAATATTTGTGCAATGGACTTTTCTTGCTTTGAATTTGGATACATTATTCTTTATAGGAAATTCATTATAAAAATAATTTAGATGAGTGGCCACAATGTACAGCTTGCACTGACTGAATATAAAAGCAATTTGATCGACTCCATGCTACTGGTATATGCCTAGAATCATTGCCATTACCAACTGATGTGTTTATTATTGGGTCATTCAAAAAAGGCACATTTTACACATAATGAAATAAAGTTGTGACAATACCATGTGTTATGTGACCTCATTTTTCATGTCATCACTCGCAGCATAAATTGTCACAATTCTGTGGTAAAGTCATTGCATAGATTTCACATCTTTCTCAATTGTAAACGGAATAAAGTATATTCTACGTCACTTTAAATAGTGGTCGTTATAATATTTTTCCTAATATGCAAGCAAACAATATGAGTTTGTTAAGTTAGCAAGCATTTTCCTGCATTTGAAACCTTACAAATGATGTCATGCGTCACATAGTATAGCCACACCGTAAATTTTCATCAGAACTACTCGTCTTTTAAGTCATATACATGTACACAATGAAAAACAAGTACAACCTCTATGATAAAAAAAATTGGTTACAAAAAAGTTCTAGACTGATTAGGCTATGTCAAAAACTAATCAACCAATCACTGAGCTGATGTCATAGATGTTAATTTCACCATCTATTTTTAGCTTTAGACAAGCATCTTTATATAGAAGACAATATGAATATGACAAATCAGATCGGGGCCATTTTTACTCAATTATTAAAGTACAATTTCTATATATCTCAAAACTTAGTGTTTTATATCTAATATAAGTATATATGTTATGTATCTCATTAATTATATGGCATTAAAATACAACAAACTAAAACTAGAAATTCTGCACAAACTAAAATAAACAAGTAAGAATCCCTTTCATAGCTGCCTATGTGCAGAAAGAAAATCATATAAATGCATGCTGAATGCTTTCCCTACCATAGAGTATACTCAACAAAAATTTAGTCCTTATTTTTGTTTATAAGTGATAATCAGAAAGAAGAAAAAAATCATCCCTTATCACTTTAATATCAGCTAATTAAAAGCCACTTCTACAAATTTTGCTTTACAAAATCCTGCTTAAATTATTTCTCGGTTCAGCAGTGTTTTTCCCCTCAGTTAATTAAGGCCTATAAAAGGCTTCTTCTCAATTGTAATTTTCTTTAAAATCATGCAGTTTTCCCAAAAATCTGAACTTACAGCAGCTTTTTTCTTTCCAAATTAGCAATTTTAGCAATAATTTTTCCCAAAATCAAGAGGCTACAAACGTAAGGCATCTTTTCAAGTAAGTGAGAAATATCACTTGGGTTGTTTTTGAGACTATTTCAAAAACACTGCTGAGTACTGTACATAAATCACTGCTCAATGGTGCAGACACAAATATAACGACTATGGTAGAAAAAGCATTAGAACAGTGAAATGAAAAAATACAAAAATCAAACAATGAACAATAGATTTATATTGTATACAAGGAAAATAAAATTAACATTAGATACAGTAATAATCACCTTTAAGTACCAAAACCTTTTTAAAAATTTTAACCTTGTGTAAATTCAGCAAATTTAGTCACTTATTGTGTCTTAGAGGAGAATTATCATAACCAGAAACTAAATAGAAACCAAGAATATCAGTAAAACCAATATATGCTCCACAACGTTGCTTTGACAGTGGTATTTAATCATATATATGTAAGAAAAATCAGTATTTAGTCTCAGTGACCTTGACCAATTCAACATAAAACCCCATCCAAGGGTAGAAGTCCAAGGAGGCTACTCATATAGCAAATATCTTATACATCAGTCATTATAATACTGCATGTTTGTAACGTCACTTTTCATTGGATAATCATGATGTTTATAAAGCTTTATATACACATCTGCTGTCAATCTATGAAGAAATCACACATCAGTCAATGAATGAAGTTACTATGCAAAACGGCAAATGTGACGAAATATCAAAAGAAAAAAAACAAATAAAATATTTATAAGATCAGTGACAGAACTTGTTAAATTTACACAAGGTAATTTACTAAAGATAGATGGAATTCCTTAATGACAATACAAAATGAGCTCCGCTCCTCTCCAAACATAAATAATCTTAAAGCAACATATGATACAAAACTAAACTAAAGAACATTTCTCTTTTTCTTAGTAAATACCATTTTGTTATCCAAAGAAAAGAAAATTGCATATTCTTAAGTAGAACTACATTGTACTTCCGTTGAACTACTCTTTTTTTACCCATAAATCTAATTAACAAGTTTTGATTCTAATCAAAATTGTAATTTAGTGTGGTATCATTAAACTGAACTTTCAGCAGTTGTTTATCATTAATTTTTTTTTTTTGCAGTTTACTTATTTTTCAATATTCTTATGAATAATTCTTTATTTATACACAAACATTTTAAAAAAAGTAATATTTTCTTTGGAACACAAATTGACTGTTTCACAAATACAAGAATCCTATATTTCTTGCTCCTTTTGTTATTTCTGCGGAAACAATAAAATCTTGACCTCCTACAGGCTTTTAAATGTTTGTAAAACAGAGTTATGTCCCCCTTTTATCTACACATATTCAATTACTGACAAAGAATATCTTTTTCCCTATCGTCCAGCTTGTTTACGAAGCATTATATATATCTTCTCTTTTAACCAGTCTTTGTTGTGTGGGACATAAGTACTGAGATTCTTTTGAAACCTGAAATTATACAAATAAATTTAAAAGATCCTGTGACACATTTTTTTTATGGTTTTATATCATAAATATGATGCTCAAATGAAGATTTATCAAGTTCCAAAAAGCATTATTTGTAAAGATATTACCGAATTTACATTTCATGTAACTAAAGGGAGATAATTAGAAAATTTATTTTCGATAAAGTCTAAGCCAAATTTTTCAATAAGAAATGAATGCGTATATTTTTAAAGATTACTTACAATGTGTATAAATCTTTACAAATTTTTGGATGTTTTGAAATTGTTTAGGAAGTATAATTATTATTATACAAAATTGCACTTTAGTTTTGTTACATCCTTATTCATATCACTTAAGTAGAAAAAAAACAAAACAACATCTTTTCAATGAACCAGCTTCGCATAATAAGAGGCTTTAGATCATCGGATATGTAATCCTGGGGTTACTGGTTTGATTCTTGGGAAAAGCGCATATTCCGCTTTACTAATTTACAAATAGAGAGCGGACCCGTAGATTACAGGTATATGGTGTTTCCTTATAATTTATTGTTTCAGTATTTCATCGACGGCAAAATTCATTTCGACCTTATTTCTATTGATTTGACAATTAATTGAAACTATTTATCTAAAAATAACATATCTAACGTTTAAAAAAAAACCTGAAGGCTTCTTTAACACATGCCAGTACAAAAGCTTAGGCCGGCTAATTATTCCAATAGTGGCCAGAAAAAATTCTATCAATAGAACCATTTACTTACACTAAACAGCTGAGGTCATTCAGCTGGTCGATGAAATCAAACAGTTGACTAATGTCATAAGTAATACTAGGGCACTCTGGATTCTGTCTCTTCAAATGTTCCTCATAGATCTTACAGATGCCTGTAGTATATAAATATATAAAACTTTTATCAGTAATGAACGAAACAATTAGGTTTTATACCAATGAAACAAATGGGTTATGTCACATTTGCATACCACGAAAGAATTCATAAACATTAAACTTTAAATTTTTAGTAAATACAATGCATGTATGAAATCAAAAAAAAAATTAAATAACAGAGTTAAAATTAATGCTAGAGTTATGGGTCTTTGTCAGTGCCCAACAAGTATGACTCAGAAAACAAGTAAGAAATTTCATCAAAATAATTTTGGTTTCGGAGACATAACTTACACACAAAACTTTAAAAACCTAAAATTTTCTCAAGTTTACAGAATGATTACACATTAAATAAATATGCCAGAATAACTGGAAGAGTTATTGGTCTTTGTCAATGACCTACAATCATAATTCAAAGAATGAATATATTCAATGGTTGTGACAACAAAACTTGCAAGATTTAACTTTAATCAGTGCTTTTTTCAAGTTCACAAAAGAACACAGTTCATGCACTTACACACTGGGAATCTGCAAGTCATGTGTTTACTCAGAGGTGTGATTTTGATGACATTATTATTTAACAGCTCATTGACATTTTTAGTTTCGTGAAATTTTATTCAAGCGCCAGGACTAACGGTAAGCAAATTTATCTCAGACTTTTTATTCAACCAGGACAAAGGATGGATGGACTTTATCAAAGACTGTGCTATGTCTTATACAGTAGTTATACCTTTTATTGATATTTCAAAGCTTGACTTACCTTCAAGGCATTCATTAAGAGACTCATAGTCACTGTATGTCCTTGTGTCTGGTCTCGAATTAGGCTGCACTAGAAGAATTGTGTGACTCTGAAAGTATAAAGTAACAAGTTGTATATATTATATACACACATCATATGTAAAAACAAAGCTTTGCGTTTTTGAACATGGATCATTTAAAAGGATCCTTGATTCACCTGACATGTCAAATGAATGGGATATTACAGTGTTGCATACAAAAATATAGATTTCTGACTCTGAGTTTATGTTTTAAGGGAGTATTTTATGTATCACAGAAACAACACAACAGTGGTTAGAATCGAGGTATGTGCTCAGAGATTATGCAAAAAATTTTTTTTAACAGAACAACTCAAGACTGGAAAAGTAAGTGTTAGATATACGTAGATAATGACAAATTATAAAGGCTTATCAAACATTTCAGAAAAAGTAGTTTATTGGACAATTTTAAGGCAATACAATCTTAACATTATATATCTGGCAACATCCTGTATGATTATCAGACCCCAGGGACTAAAGTAAACAAGAGTAAATATAGGAAGCTCATTCTATATTTGTGATTTATTACATATAAACACAGGTCTATTTCAGGGTTTTCAGACATTAAGCGTATTACTTTTTTTTGATTACTTGCATGTTGTCAAGGCCAAAAAAAAAAATATATTAAATTATTAATATATAAAATAGAAAAGTTGGCCGAGTTGACCCGAGCCGAGTTAGAAAAGGGCCAAGCTGACTCGGGGGCCCATAGCTTAAGGTCTACAGCGTACCCGTTTATATACTATGGCATGACGTGAACGCTGAAGACAATCTGTAGACAGCAGGCTTCGCGAAACTGCTGAAAAATTTGCCTGACATTCGGTCAGACAAACTTTCAATTCTTGTCTGACCGAAAGAACTCTTGTCTGACCGAATTTTTTCCCCCAAATATATGTATATGGTAATACCTTGGTGTTTTTTTTAAAGACATAACAACTTTTAAAGATTTGCAACACAATTTTATTCCGTTAAATAAAACATTTGTTTATCAAGATTGATGGACTCACAGGCGCTCAGTCACATATATTCAAATATTTTACATAACCAGTCTATATATGTATATAAAGATATATAGTATATAGCCCATATAAAACTTTAAAAAGTTTGTTTCAAGCACCTGTGGATGGACTCTGTTTGGAAATCAAAACATTCATGATCAAAGCGGCCATTTTTCCATTTACCCACAAATTTTCTCGGCGGGCGCCTGGACTCGTATTCCTTTTGTTTCGCTTTTTTTTCTTCATTGGATAGTTTACGATTTTTGCCGGGCGTAGCGCAAGCGTAATAATGTAGTAACACCGACATTTTGGTTATTGACACTTATAATGAAACGGCGAATCAAAACTCGTTTTACATTTTTTTATTCAAGGGAGAAAACTCGGTCTTGATCGGTCTTGGATATATCCCGGTATTCGTACCGGACATAAGGTCCGGAACTCCGAAAAAAAATATCGGACCGGCCTGATTTTTGCCAGACATGTCCGACGGTCCGGCAACTTTCGCGAAGCCTGGACAGTCCACCAAAAATCGTGCCAGGAATCTGACACGCTTGTATTCATTCATCGAACATGCAATGAAGTAAATAGAAGCATACCTTGATAAAACTATATATAATCTGTTGATAAGCCAAGGATGGACAAATAAAAATCTTATTACGAACATAAACTACCTAATAGTTTCTGACAGGTAAAAATTTCTGCACTTGGCCACCTTAATGCCAAAATGTTTGACCATGTGATTACGAGATTGACCTTTACGAACCCATGTGCTTCCAATATTTTTATAAATTACTTTTTTTAAAGATATCGAAAAAGGTGATTAACTGACTTTTGTATTCAATAAAATCATATTTAAGTACTAAAAATTAATAAAAACATTATCTTGAATAAAAATATCGAAATCATGTCAACAAAGTTGTTCTTAATATAGTACACGACTCTATTCTAATCGGTTCCCATGAATGACGTCTCGTGGTACCGGGTCTCCACGATACCGGTGTACATATTATATACAAGGTGTTTTTCATATAAAATTTTACTTACTTGAAAAAAAAGAAGGAATAAACAACTTCATTAACATTTAATCCTCTTAAAATTACATTACAGAGTTCTATTACTCTGAAATTCTTGTTCATTGCGAATGTAAACAATGGTCAACCATTTTGTATGACGTAGTTAAATAGACTTCATGCTACCGGTGCACTGGTAAAAAATGTTATTTATATAGAAAGCCATTGCAGTTTTAATAGCAAATATATCATTTTAGCATTCTTGTATTCATATCTGAAAAAGAAAATACTTTAAAACAACATAAAAACGTGTATTTCAATAATTTACTGTTCATATTTTATGACTCCCAAGAGATTTCTGTTTTAGAACCTTTTCCTCCCAATTACAGGTGTATATTATACCATGTGGCTGGATTCAAAAATTCCCTTCACTTAATTTTAGTGTTGTTGTGATTTTCTGGTCCTTTTATATCATTGAATCAATTCTATTTCTTTATGATGAAGATTAAATATCAATATGGCACTTTACACAGGCTCCCTTAAAAGACTGAATGAAACTGACTTTTTAATTTTCACAAACTATTTTATATGCACTAATGGCTTTCCATTGCCAAAAAAGGTCAAGTGACATGTAATGGAGGTTGAATGACGTCAGTACCTGTCATTTTTTATTTTCTTGGAAAAAAAGTGTTTTGTAGAGAGACCAATTTATGCAATGGAGAAATAGGATAGTAAAATAAAAATAAGGTAGGATATGTGAAATATTTCCTTCATAAACTCATGAAAATGTTTAAAACCTTTGAAATAGCGAATATTACTGGGAGCATGTCAATATAAACACTCGGTAGGTGGCGTTGACAATAATATCGCGAGATATGTGAATATACCGGTACCGTGGAGTCACCGGTATCATGGGGTTCGAGTAATACCTACTGTAGTCGGCGTAATTGATGTTTTACAGTTAAATAGGCAATTTTAATGACGGTATTAATATTTTCATACTTTAATAATTAAGCTTTTAACATGCATTTATATACGCTAGTCATGATCAGAATTGATTGTTAAGCAGTATGATGTATTGTGATTTAGGATAGGAAGCTGCAAACCATCACCTAAAATCTGGTTTGATGTGCAGAAAGAGAATTGACTGTCAATGTTTCGACAGTTCATTTTAAGGAGTTTGACGTCCCTGGAGAATCCCTAGAAGAAAAACATGCTGAATATTTAGACATGTATTCTGAGTCAGATATAGACACACTACAGGTCAGTGCCGAAAAAAATTATGTTTTGCCTTTTTTGGGCTGCACAAAAATGTTGGGTAGATAGGCCCTTTCGCCAATAATTTCGAGCCAGAATGACCAAAGGCTGGAATGTCTTTAAATTGCTCCTAACCGAGACACTGATTGATGGATACAATGAATTTTACAATCTATCTTATTACCATTTTCGATGAATTTTCGGAAAATTATGCACAGCAAGAGAAGATGGCGACGTCAGGTATTGTAAAAATTCTGACGAATGTATCCGAATATATCAGACATCCATCCACCCAAAGTGACACTTGTAACCCAAATATATACATCTATTTATTTTTATCACCAACGTGACAGTCAGATATTCAAAATATTATCAAACTTATTAAAATCATTCTGTAGGTAGCATTTTTATCAACTGTGTAAGTTTTGAATGATATAAATGAAGTACTGGTTCAGATGAATTGGTCGATGAATGGACGAATGCATTCTTGGTGAATTACATGGCAAAGCACCTGGTGTTTCAAAAAAATCATTCATTCGGAAAATAATATTTGTCTTGGCGGTGTTTATCAGATATTAAGGGATTGATAATGAAGTCTAAGTACAAGACGATGCTACACGGCTTCAATTAAACTCTTTGCTAGCTTGCACTTTAATAACTTGATTAGCACAGCTGTCTATGCACAGACTCAATCAAAAAATATATAGCTTTACATTATTTAGTTTTTAAATTATCACCCATTACAAAACTTAATAATGTTTATTTCACACAGACCGCAAGTTAATTGATTCTTTGAAGTAATTTAAGGAAATCGAATAAAACTTCACAGAGTTATATATAAACAGCTAGAGAGACCAATGACAGAAAGTGCAATTGCTTTATTTTTGTATTATCTCCCATTATTATACCCAATAATGCTAAAGTTGTCAAACATTTGCTTTCATTGACCGAAAGAGATCATTATATGTGGTCAGTACCATAAATATACAATGGTGTCCAGTAGATTTAATTATAGTAACTTATTTGAGTGTCTTTATTTAGTATATTTAGCAGGTAAGTACATTGGATGGTCCCCTACTTTGGTTGAATCACAGACATTTACTTTTATTTAAAAGTCTGTGGTTGAATGATGGAGGACTGATCAAGTTCTGGTTATATATTTCAACTTCTAACACAACTTTATCAATGATCGAACTGGTATCTTTCATATTTGGTATTGCGTTAGTGCATGGTCCTCTAATATTTGTTTGAATAAAGGGAAAAAAGGGGTCAATGTCACAATATCTTATAATATAGATATCTACCACTTTCGGGTATACCTTTAATTATTGAATGACATCTTCCATATTTGGTAGGAAAATATATATCCAAAGGATGGTTGGAGAAAGTAGTTAATTGGGTCAAGGTCGAAGTTATCATAATAATAGTTCATGCAGTGTTTATTTATTGACCGATGTCTCATATATATGGTACATAGGCATATATGGTCCTCTCACTTTCTGTAGCCTGGTTAAGTCTCAGGTGCTTAAATAAAATGTTACAATTCTTACTTACAACCAATATGCAATAGAATAAATGTACATAGACAAATGTGTATGTCAGGGAACGAATAAATGTACATAGACAAATGTGTATGTCAGGGAACCATGATCCACCACCTTAGCAACATCTCTTGTTAGGAATTTCACAGTGATCAAACTAGGTAAACGCCAATTGGTCTGACACTACAGTAAAACTTTTGTTACCCTATGGGAAACAAAGACTTTGGTCTCTTCTGAAAGGTGTTGTTCTAGAGAGGTTAATTTAATTGTGAAAATTTACTTTAGCGCAAAATCTCGAACATGTAGGTGATGTTTGTTTGATGTCACATTGATGTTGACCAGCGCAAATAGCGACGTATTGTTGTTGTGTAAAGATCGCCATAAGAAGAAATGAAAAGTGCTAAACGTGCTCGAATTCAAAGACAAATATATTTCATAAATGTGATTTCATAAATGAAACTTTAAAATCTCAGCCCGAACTCAAGCTCTTGAAGAATGTGTTCGCGCAATGTGACATATACGACTTTAAATGTTATAGGTATGACAATTGTGGTCGTATAAATTAATCATACTTGTGATAAATGTGACTCGTGCAAAATGTGCTCCTACATAATATTTACAACTCTACCGGAGAATGTCTTTCAATTTTGCATTTTAAATTCACATGTATTCTTTATAACAATAACGACACCAAACCAAGAATTCATGACGATTGTGTAATAATCATTCCCAATTTAATTGATGGTAGACGTTTTTATCACATATACGAGTCCCGTTGAACACCGTTTCGTCCACATTGTTGGTATGATATTGTCTACGTCGTAGTTAACTTTTTGCATTTGAAATAAACTTAAATATGAGACTCGTCAGTAACTCGTTTAATTACATTTTCCTAAACTCATTTCCCATAGATCCTAAATGTATACTTAAGTATAGTGCATTTTAAAATTGTCATTGCTCATGAATTAAAAAACAAACAAACAAAAACACTTACAAAAACATTGCTACAAAGAAGAGATTTTAACAGATAAACTACATCTGAAAATAACACTGTTCATTAGAATTTAAACAAGAGGACCATGATTGTCCTGGATCGCTTACCTACATGTAGTTGAGATGCATTGCGCAAGAAAAGATGCAGAAGTAATAAGGTTACAATTAGTGCATCATTTTTTACTCGAGAATCATTGTTAAAAATGTATTTGTAGACATCCACTAAGACAAGCTACATGCAAAATATTTCTTGACATGTGTTTTACTATACAAGTCTATATAACCAAAGTAACCCCCATGGTGGGCCAATTTAATACCACGAGCGCATGGGCTTAAGAGCCCCTCTCAAGACGCCTTGGTCCCTTTTTTTGTTTGTTGTTTTTTTTTCTACTGGAAAGGCCTCGATCGTAATACCAGGGAAAACTGGATGAAGATAGATAATTACTTGTAAAATGGGGCCTGGATCCCTGCCGAGTTTCCGGTAGTTCTGGCTTCCAAAACTTTATCAGCCGCTTTTTAAATTTTTGTTTTTCATCTGATGCGGTTCACGTCATGTCATAGTATATAAACTTAAGCTAAGTTTCCGTTTATAAAATTCTGTCAGTATCGTACGGCAATTTACTGAACATAATGTGTTAGAAAACATATATACTCTTTCAATACATTATTCTTGGTCACTGTAGATGTGTCATGATTAAGAACTATTCATTTATCAAGGGAGAATGTGTAAGCTGCCTGATAGCTTAGTCATTCAAACCGCAGTAAGGCTTTCTCAGGGTCCCTGGTTTAAGTCCGGGTCAGAATGTACAATTTCCTCAGTCTGTGACAGATGCATGTTCAAGGGTCTGCATATAAATACTGGGTAAATCAGTCTAGGATTAGTAGGAAAAGAGCCCCTTAGTAAATCAACAAACAAATGAAAATGTGATAATGACGTACTTCCCATATGTGCAGCTCGTGCCTTACTTTTGAACTCTTTAGCATTATGATATAAATTTTTACCTAATAAGGGTTTCAAAATGATCTTTTTAAAGTTTTAAAGGGCTTATATTTAACACAATTCAGCATCATTCATAGAGTGGGAAGTGAAAGTTTCAACATGTCCAAAGAAAGGTTAATATTAAACACCTTAACATCTCCATTTTTCTGGGACATGTAGAAATGTTTATTTTTATGCCCCCCCCCCCCCCCGGAGGGGGGGGCATAATGTAATCGCACCGTCTGCCCCCCACCCCACACTTAATTCGTGACGGACTGTAACTTTGTCATACATTGAGGGATTTTGAAATAACTAGGCACAAATGTTTACCACATCAAGACGATGTGCCGCATCCAAGAACCACCTCCCTACTTAAAAGGTCAAGGTCACGCTACCATTTTGAAGTTCACTTTATCACAATTAGAGTTTGTAGATACACACATTGGTGTCCGGACTGTTAAACTTTGTCATGCATTGAAGAATTTTAAAATAACTAGGCATAAATGTCTATCACATCAATACGATGTGTTGCGACAAAAACCCATGTCCCTACCTTCAAGGTCAAGGTCACACTTATAGTTTGAAGGTACTCATTCTCTCGAGAAGAGTTTGAAGATACACATTCATGTCCGGACTGTAACTTTGTCATGCATGGAAGGATTTTAAAATAACTTGGCACAAATGTCTACCACATCAAGACAATGTGTCGCGGCTAAGGCTCATGTCCGTCTGTCCCCACTTACACAACAATCATGTCCAGACTGTAACTTTGTCATGCATTGAGGGATTTTGAAATAATTTGGCACAAATGTCTATCTCATAACAACATTTTGTCGCGTCCAGGAACCACGTCCCTTCTTCAAAGGTCAAGGTCACACTTATATTTTGAAGGTTCATGCTATCACAATTAGAGATTACAGGTACAATAATACAAAGAACAATATTCAGCAATTAGTTACTTTCATTCTCTTTTCTTTTCATAATAGAAACCTTTTCAAGGGGGGGGGGGGGGGGCATTCGTCACTTTGGTGACCGCTCTTGTTAAATGTCAAAGCTCTGGACATTGCAATTTAAGAGAAGATTTTAAAGATAGTTTTATGCTAAATGTTAAAACAAACTAAGTGACACCAAAGACAAGGCAATTTTTACCCTGAGGCATGATTTATATAAGTTTTGTAGTGGACCATAAGGCGATGCTACATGTCAAATATCTAGGCTATATGCATATTTTTATTTCGAGACAAAGTTTTAAAAAATTCATATATTAAGTCTATTTTTAACTCCTGTGACCTATTTTATCAGGACTGGAGCCATTTAAATAACTTTTGTAGAGGGCAACCAAAGGATTTTTTTGAAGTTTGGTCAAAATCCACCAAGTTGTTTAGGTGAAGACATTGCATACAAAGATGAAGGACAGACACACTGGCATCACAAAACCTCACCTCTGAGCACTTTTTACTCAGGCGAGCTTAAACAAAACAACACAATGTTACTAAAAATATAATTGTATTGATAAAATTGAATGAGTTTGTACATGTGTATGTAACATTTATCCATGATTACAATATCAACATGAGGGTTCTGTGGTAACAACGGACAAAATAAATAACATTACATCCACAACGTTAATGTACTTTGTTCATTATTTTCAAATCAACAATATCAAGTAATTATTTGAATCGCGAACTCATAATGTGTATTTTGTACTTAATCCTTAACCCATAAATATCTTAAATAGGAAAACATGTCATTCCAGAGTAAAAAGATTGAAACAGCCTAAAAATGACAAAATAACAATACTAATTGTATACAACAATTTAAGAATGTGTTATCTTCTTATTATAAAATGGATTAATAAGACCATCAAATACTGCAAATGAACAATCATGGCAAATTTTTTTAGACTGTGACACTACTGTATATCCAGAAACTTGTAGACACTACTGTGTATCTAGAAACTTGAAAAGTGACTAAAATTTAGTTCCAAGTTGAATTTGTCCTTACCTTAAATAACTGACACCGGTATGTCTTGGTCCATGCATACATGAGCCAAATAAACCCGAAAAACTAACAAGCCAAGATAAAGCTTTCAATTGTAACATTACATCTACATCTTGATTTGTGAATGCACAAGTCAAGATAAAAGTTTTCAAATTTTTATATCCTGATCCATACATATATAAACCCCCAAATAACGTTTACAAAAATTTAAATTCTGATCCACGCACACATGAGCATTGATGAAGTTTTTCAGACTTTAGGAAATCACATGGATGAGCAAATATGAAATGAGTGAAATAACAACAGCAAAATTCTAGCGACATTTGCCTGCATTTACCGAGCCCTTCTGAGAATTGCGAATCACTTATCCAGACCAAATTTGGAATGAATGAACACCAAGATTCTAGAAATGAAGTCAGATGCTGATTTCACATAATAGAATTTTCACCTGTCTTTAATCCCCATACAAAGATATTTTTCTATCAAACATAATTTGCCGATTTAACAAATAAAAGAATCAATCATGTTTTGTTCCTTGGAAACAATGGATTGTCTTTCCCTTATAGGCTTTAAAATGTTTTGTTCACTTTTATCTTTATTTTCTTTTCGCTGAAAAACGTATGATAATTATCGCCCTGCTTGATTTCGAAGCATAACGTATATCTTCTCTTTTAACCAGTCCTTGTTATGTGGCCCGTAGGTGCCAATATTCTTTTGGAATCTGAAATAAATTTTTAACTTTAAATGATAAAATTAGAGTTTAAACAATGCTGATTGAAAACACTTGCTTTAATGACAAAAAGTGAAAATTACAGAGGCCCTTGAAGACCCTTCATTGATAAATATTTGTAAAATTTTATCATAATAATAGAAGCTATGTAATAATTCACACATGTAAACAAAAACATTTCACGTGAAAACAAGAACCGGTTGAACCGGGTGATGCTCCCCAAATAGGTTTTGGACACAGGAAAGTATACCTCTTGAAGTGTCAGAGTTATGTCAGTGTAAAAATTAACAAAGGACAATAATTCCAAAATTCGGCAAGACAGAGTTATGGTTCTTTTGCATTGCACTTCTACTCAATAAGATCTATCTACCTACAAAGTTTCATGTTAATATAGTTTTAGAGTTATGTCCTGGACAAAGTCCAAAGTGTAAAAAAATGCACAAAGGGCAATAACTCCAAAATTAGGCAAGACAGAGTTATGGTTCAATGCACAAAGGGCAATAACTCCAAAAATAGGCAAGACAGAGTTATGGTTCTTTTGCATTGTACTTCTAGTCAATGAGATCTATCTACCTACAAAGTTTCATGTTGATACCTGTTGTTGTTAAAAAGTTATGTCTTGGACAAGAATAGGGGACGGACGGACAAACAAAGCGGCAACTATATGCTCATCCTTTGTGGAGCATAAAAATACTATAAATAGAATCATTTAGCATTTACTTACACTAAACAGCTGAGGTCATTCAGCTGGTCGATGAACTCAAACAGCTGACTAATGTCATAAGTAATACTTGGGCACTCTGGATTCTGTCTCTTCAAATGTTCCTCATAGATCTTACAGATACCTGTGGAGTATAATAATTAATATAAAATATACAAAATATTTAAACACTGTTACATTTCATTATTATGAATGAAGGAGCTCAACTTTATGTTACCAGAAATATGTCAGTTGAAACTCTTTTTAAAAACTGCTTGACTATAAATGTTCTACTCTCTTCTTTGTTTTTTTTTTCACATTCTTTCTTTCTACAATTATTTTAGGTGCACAAACTTTAATATAACTTTTTTTAAATATCAAACTGTACAGTATTTGTTAAAGCCTTCATCAAAATAATATTGTCATTGGACATCAAATGCAAAATATTTAGTTCTTATAAACACCAGGGTTACTCATAATCCCCTCTCATTATCTATGTCTTTTCCTGCTTCGTACACTTTGAAATGGAAATTTGGCTGCGACCCAAAATGGTTATGACGTAAGAACTCAAGAAGACATGCTATAGTGACAATAGATAAAAACACATAAAAAAAAAATTTCTGGTTCACCGTCACATTTTATTAGGCCATGAGCATGCAGTATGTCATATTTTCCTGTCCACTAATTAGCATGTAATTGTATGTAGCCGTTATGGTAAGGCCATGTTATTTCCTGATAATTTTGTAATTCTATATGTGGAATACAATGACTTTTTTTAAGGTTTTTGTTTGTCACAATATCTTTGGCTAACATTCTTATATTTTAAGTAATTTACCCACCATAAATATATGAACAGGCTTTCAAGCATGACTTACCTTCAAGACATTCATTAAGAGACTCATAGTCACTGTATGTCCGTGTGTCAGGTCTTGAGCTAGGCTGGACTAGAAGGATGGTGTGACTCTGAAAATATAATTATTTAAGGATACAAAATTAAACATTCAAATTAATACAAATCATTTTCAGCTATGATCATAATTATGTGAAAGATTTTGCAAGTAATATTTGCCAGTCCCAGTCATAATCAGCAACTGACTGGAGAACCAATGTAGATAAATGTGTATGAACTGCTACAAAAAAAATTGCATTTTTCCTGTTGGAAAGTTGGATCAGTAAGCTTAAATTTTAAGGCATCTATTTGTCAAAGTTCACACCATGGACATGTTCTTATCAATAGTCTTCTAGCATTTATTTCGCCATCTCTCTAGAGTTATTCACTCTTCTTAAATTGCAGCCATTTTAATTTAAGTTTCTTGGTAGTCCTATAAAAGTAAAATTGCATCTAGCCTTTTTGACATTTTAACGTCTTGGTAAATCAACACTAGGGGTGTGGATCGTCGGATAAGCGACGATCCGATCCGAACCACGATTCAGCACTTACGATTCACAAATTGAACCACAAATCTTTTGTTATCAAGACACCCATAAAAACATGTACATGTATTAGTTAAAAAAACATGTTTATTAAAAACAAACAACGATACTAAACATTAAACATATAAAATATAATTTAACTAGGTTTATGTTTTTATTTTTTGGAAGAGTATTTTTGTTTTGTTTTATGAAACCAATTACTTCCTAGCTCAGCATTATGGTACGGCACATTGTATTTAGGTAAACTTCCCATAATTTATACTCAAATCGTATTTTTCTCGATTTTAAGAGTGTAAGAAACAGTGAACGTATGTAAAAAAAATTAGATCGCGATCCGTCGATCTTTGGGCTTACGAATATTCAAATTCGATTTTTCACTTTGATTCGTGATTATTGGAGTACTCGGATACTCGCCCCAGCCCTTATCAACATCATTACCGAAATTGATCTAAAACCTGCAATACTTTTTGAGTAACAACTGTAAATAGAATGTAATCAACTGTCTAACCGCCTTGTGTGGTGGTTTAAAAGCTATAAATAGCTTATGTTTAACCGTTAACCTGAGATGTAGTCAAAATATATTGATGTGCCAAAGCTAGAATCTGAGATATGCTGTTTTTCTGGGACAAAATCTAAATTCTTGCTTCTACGTCAAACCCAGACACAGACTTTTCTGTGGAGAAATGTAGATATATAGAGGGGAGATATTGCCCATACACAAAAGAGCACAATATCTCATCGCGTAATACAATTAGTATATAACATAGATGTTTATCTATGTCCCTGGTTTACCTATCAAATATTTCTGACAATAAAAAATTATTGACTTGACATTAATCAAAATATATTGATGTGCCAAAGCTACATTCTGAGATATGTTTTGTTCTGGGTCAGAATCCGAGACATTGCCCATACTCAAAATAGCACAATATCTCATCACTTACTACAATTAGTTGGACTAACTTCAAACTTGACTAGCAATTTACAGATTGGTTCCAGTAATAATAATTTATGATAATTTAGCACTATCATAGAAATACGGGGACGTCAACACTCAATGGCTAGGTCCGCTTGAGCTTTGGCTTTAGACTACATGTGTATATTTAAAAGGTAATCAAATAAAAAAAAAAATAATGAAAAATATTTAGATCTCTATACCCATCAGTGAAATTTTCAGTGTCATGTCTAGTTTGGCGCTACCATTTTCAATGTAACAAGCTGATGAAAATGCCCGATCGGGTTTATGACATAAAAAATCATATTTCTAGAAAAATAATGAATATGTTTCTTTCTAACTTGTTTTGTTTATTAAGCATTTATGTATGATACTAATCAAATTAAAAATATGTTGGTTATCTTTTATTATCTTCTTATTTCCCTTTTTCCCATTTACAGGAGACAAAATATTCATAAAAATTATCAGGGGTATGTTGTTATGTAAAATTCCCAATAAAAATGTGTCCAACAACTTAATTTTGCTCAATATAATTTGCGCCAGTACTTTTATTCTATATATTTGGATTAAATATTCTGTTTCTGGCATTTATATTTTGACAATTCTTTAACAGTGAACATTATACATTGAAGTTTTCTCTGAATGAAATGTATGCTAACAGGTATTGGCGCAATGAATTAGAGCATAAAGAAGTTATTTAACCTATTTTGTTTTATACTTTGCATATATAACAGTAACATACATTGTACTTTTTAAGGACTTCAAAAATTATGTGTAACAAGCAATTATCATAGTATTGCAAGCAATCCATAAGTCCCCTACCGGTTAGAACCCCATCAACATTCTGAAGGGCCATTGGCCATTCACTTATGTTTCAATTTTTCTCTATTTTAAGTAAACTTGTTGGAAAAGTTCTTTAAAAGTGATCACAGAGTATGAACAGACAGACAGACGGACTGAAGGACACTCTAAAGTTAATATTTGAAACATCCCTGTTACCAAAATATAACATTTTAAAAGCAAAATTCTTAAAGAGGAGATAACTCTTGAATTAAAGATGCAATTTCATAAAAATGTTCAGCTCTTTTTGACTTATCACAAATATTGTTATATTTGCCATGTTTTAAGCCTATTTGTTGCCAAGGCAACTGATATTTTTTCAAAATAGGAAGAATGCATAATCTCAAGACTGCTATCTACCCATATGTCAAGTTTCATAAAAATATTTCCAGTACTTTTTGAGTTATCACTGGATTCAGTTTATGTGTAAAATTTGCCATATTTTCAGTATATGTGTTGCCATAGCAACCAGAATTTTCAACATAGGAAGAAAAGAAAAAGATGTGCATAATCTCAAGACTGCCATCTACCCATATGTCAAGTTTCATAAAAAATATTTCCAGTACTTTTTGCTTTATCACTGGATCCAGTTTATGTGTAAAATTTGCCATATTTTCAGCCTATTTGTTGCCATAGCAACCAGAATTTTCAACATAGGAAGAAAAGAAAAAGACGTGCATAATTCCAAGACTGCCATCTACCCATATATCAAGTTTCATAAAAATATTTCCAGTACTTTTTGCGTTATCACTGGATCCAGTTTATGTGCAAAATTTGCCATATTTTAAGCCTATTTGTTGCCATAGCAACCAGAATTTTCAACATAAGAAGAAAAGAAAAAGACGTGCATAATCTCCATACTGCCATCTATCCATAAACCAAGTTTCATAAAAATATTTTCAGTACTTTTCAAGTTATCGCGGGATCCAGTTTTGTGGACGGACGGACGGACTGACGGACTGACAGACAGACGGACGGACAGACGGACGGAGGGTAAACCTAAAGTCCCCTCCGGTAAACCGGTAGGGGACTAATAAAAACATGAAAAAGGGGAAATAATTCTCATAAAAGTAACTAACCAAATATTTTTCTATCCTGTCTATGTCATATATTATGCTCAATAAACAAACAAAGTTTAAAAGAAAGATATATTAATTATTTTTCTAGAAATATAATTTTTTTGTTATAAGCCCGATCGGGCATTCTCACCAGCCTGTGTAAATCAATGATAATAGGAAGGGTATTCCAATAACGAAACAATCACAACTTTTAGGATTAAGAATCTTCGAGGCATTCCAAGTGAAAACAAATGTGTTGCATAAAATAACAGATGAAACCTTTAAAACTAAAAATGTAAGATTATTTTAACTGACTTCCTGTTTAAAGGCTTTGCCTTATTTCATTTTACTGATAGCGAGCTCGAAGAGCGGGCCCGAAGAGCAAGCTTTACGGTAATGCGAGTACCTGCTAGATAGTGAAGGTTTTTAAAATCTTTCTTCCGAGGTACCAAATTGACACATCACAACTTTTTGAATTACAAGATAATGATAAAAGCCGAGGTATTCTGATTGAAAACGGAAGCGTAAACTGGTGTCCTGCGCACTTATATGGGAACCATAATAGGCAAGGGAACCAGAATAAATGGAAGCAGTGTGTAAAATACCAAATGAAATTTTAAAACGGAAAATGTTAAATAAAAACTGATGATTATTTTTTACTATTTCACGGTAAAAAGAAAATCTAGCTCTGCCTTTTCATATTATTCAATTTCTCATCAGTCATCACAATAATACATCAATCAGACTGTCCTGGATTAGACCCCGGGGTTTATTCCAGGATATACCCATTAATACCATGCAGTATTGTATTTGTGCATAATTTATAACACCCCACCCACTAAAAACAAAGGTAAACAAAACATGATCGGTAGGCCTATGTAAGAATTTAAGTATAACTAAAACTGTGCAACTGTTTTGGTAAGAAGATCATGCTATACTTAATCAAATCAAAAGTGAATTTAAGATAACGTATATGATCTTATTACCATTTTTGAACACTTTCTTTTCAGAAAATTTACACAACAGGAAGGCGACGTTGGGTTTTGTAAAAATTTTGCCGAATGTATTTCGAGTGCCGGCCACCAACTGATCCATCCAATAATGAATTAACTCGGTGCTTGAGTATTTTCCTAGAATTACCAAATAAATGAACTTTTCAATGCTAGATCTATATCATATTTCTTTTAAAATAATAATGAGGTATCAATAAAAAAATTAATGATAAGAAAGTTAACTTCGACGACAACAACAATAGCATAAATCTTCAGTCGTCATTTTATTAATTAATCCAACTTTGTTCAGCACTTGTGTTCTCATAATCTGCGCAAATTGTAGCGAACATGTGTAAATGATATGCGGCATACATGTCTAACAAAGTATTGAAGAATTTCGGTAATCATTTTTATCTCAATCTTCTGTTGATTTGTAATAAACATCAAAAAAGTGAAAAGTGAATATATTTTCGGATATGGCGAAAGTAGTCTAATAATTTGTTCACTTGTATCTCATACAAAAATTGCATGGAAATTTCGTGTAAACTGTTTGTTGGTGCTTTAAATATTTTCATGTTTTTTAACTGCCAAACTTTAAAATGTAATTTGTAACTGACAAACTTTTAAATATAATTTATGTATATAATGTTTAAAAGACAAATCTGGAACAAATTATATCAACTTATCATGTCCCAGCAGAGATGTAGATAAATGTTAATTATCTATGTCTCTGCATAGTCTCAGGTTATATTTAAGCTAAAAGTGAATAAGTGATATTAAAAAAATATACAATAAAAAATACAATAAAAAATTCCAAAGTTGTAGACTTATTATGCTCCCTGAAAAATATTGGGGGAGCATATATATAGTTGCCAGGTTGTCCGTCAGTCTGTCAGTCCGTCCGCACGTACGTATGTACGTCCCAAATTCGTGTCCAGCCCATAACTTTGTTATTTGAACTCAGATTTTACAACTATTTCACAGAAATGATCACCATATTGAGACGATGTGTCGCACGCAACATTTGGGTCGCTACCTTGAAGGTCAAGGTCACAGTCAGGCCCATAACTTTGTTATTTAAAGTTGGATTTTACAACTATTTCACAGAAATGATCACCATATTGAGAAGACGTGTCGCGTGCAACATTTGGGTCACTACCTTGAAGGTCAATGTCACAGCATGACCTTGCAGCAAAATCGTGTCCGGCCCATAACTTTGTTATTTAAAGTCGGATTTTACAACTATTTCACAGAAATGATCGCCATATTGAGAAGTGTTACACGCATCATTTGGGTCACTACCTTGAAGGTCAAGATCACAGCATGACCTTGCAGCAAAATCGTGTCCAGCCCATAACTTCGGTATTTGAAGTCAGATTTTTATATGCCCTTAAGGGCATATTATGTTATACCCCCTGGCGTCCGTCTGTCTGTCTGTCCGCACTCACAGGAAAGTAATTATGTGGCTAGAGGGACAATAGGTAACTGTTCTTTCTCTTTGATGTCATTCATTCCGTAATGCTTTTATGTGGCTACAGGGTTCTCAATAAGAGCTGGCCGCCGGCCAAAATGACCGTTTGTAAACACTTTTTGGCCGGCTGAAATTTGTAAAATTTTCAATTGATACCAAAAACTGAGAACAGAATTTAACTTTCAAATACTGATGCTCCCTGATTATTGTTATTTTTTCAGTAGAAACACAATAAATGATTGGAATAAATCTGAATTAGCAAATAAATCTTAATAAAACTTGGATAAAGTGAAACCGGAAGTTCAACTCCATCGCCGATTTTTCCAGCCTACTGCAATATTGCAATGAAAATACTTGCTAAAACTGGACACTATTCAAGGGTTTAAACTTTAAGAAAACATGATTTGTTTGCTATAAAATCGTAAAATCAATTGTTGATAGTTGTCATTTACACTGATAATGTGTACTAAAATACATTCATGTGTTGTCGAAAATAGATCTGATTTCAGATGTAACTTATTCGGACATGCAATTACGGCTTGGGAAAAATTTCATAAAAGAAAAAAAGAAATGTTTTAAATAAAATATCTTTCTTTGACTGAACTTCATACACTGATATATACAATGCTTATTTATGAATAAGCAATTTTAATGAAAGTACATGTAATATAATATGAATAATTTAACAAGCTTGTTATCAAAGTTTTGATACCCTAGGTATGAAAATTAAGGGCAATATTCTTTGATCAAAATGACATAAAATCTATAATTTGTTGTTCAAATCAGGGACAAAAGATATAAATCCAATGTTCCTACTCAAATCATATACCAGATAACTGATACATTTTTAGTGAATTACATGTACTGAGATTTGTTGGCATAAATAGTAAAATTTTGTTTATGTGACATTTGCTCTGTTCCATGTCTGACAAATAATTTTATAGAATTTATGACTAACACATTTAGGTCCTGTTCAAGCTTTTAACTTCAAAATGAGAATCAATTTTAGGATCAGGATCAATATTTGAATCAACTGTAAAATTCCCTTATCTTACAAAAATAACAATAAATTTATCTAAAATTTGATAAACTTGCCATCGCAAATCCAACTTCATCAAATTAATATTAGATATATAATCTATGAGGATAAACAATGAAGAATATTAGTTTTAAATTTGATCCTGTGATTTAATTTGATTGTGAACACTCTGGGCCTGTTTTGATTTTGTAAACATAAACTGTACATTGATGTATATATGTAGATGTGAAACTGTAAGCTCTATAAAAGCTCTGCAGCTTGACAGGCAACACATAATTTGCTTATTTTTTATTTAATCATTTAATGCCAGGTGAGTATTCACATAATTGGCAAGTCATTTTAAAATGCCAGGCTGTTCGATGAAAAGGTTAATCCCTAAAAAATGAAACACAATGATTGGCACATGATATTTTATTATTGAATAAGAGTGATATTTATGCAGTAATTTTCTAATATTTTTCTCCTGTCTGCAATTGCCCGACATAACTGTATTGGTCCAGTATTTTAAAAATGGTGTTTCATTAAGTTTAAAATGAATTAAAAAACAGCATTTAAGGCAAAACTGCACTTTTTTCCAATTAATCACACAAAATATATTTGACAACACTCTTAATACTGGATTACTCATAACGAATGTTACGTATTTTTTACAGAATTTAATAGTGTGAGAAATTTTATATAGTTTTTTTTTTTCAAATTATGCCTTTACATTTGGTCTTCTGTAATAGTTTTAAACTGCCAAAATATGGCAGAGAATGCAGGAAATCAAGCGCTTAATTTAAAAAAATTTCGGGGGAGCATGCCCCCGGACCACCCTAGGAGGCCTGCTAGAAATCAAATTTGGCCTGCTGAGCTGAAAGTTATTGAGAACCCTTTGGCTATTTTCTTTTGTGTGGCTAAAAAGAACAATAGAGAGAACAATAGAGTAGCCACATAATTACTGTCCTGTGAGAACGTCCGTCTGTCCGTTAGCAATTTGGTTTCCGGAGCATAACTTAAGTTCCATTTGGCCCACAATGTTCAAACTTCATAGGATGATTGTCCATATTAGGTAGAAGACCCCTATTGATTTTGGGGTCACAAGGTCAAAGGTCAAGGTCACTATTACCTTGATACTGAAAACAGTTTCCGGAGCATAACTTAAGTTCCATTTGACCCACAATGTTCAAACTTCATAGGATGATTGTCCATATTGGGTAGAAGACCCCTATTGATTTTGGGGTCACAAGGTCAAAGGTCAAGGTCACTATTACCTTGATACTGAAAACAGTTTCCGGAGCATAACTTAAGTTCCATTTGACCCACAATGTTCAAACTTCATAGGATGATTGTCCATATTGGGTAGAAGACCCCTATTGATTTTGGGGTCACAAGGTCAAAGGTCAAGGTCACTATTACCTTGATACTGGAAACAGTTTCCGGAGCATAACTTAAGTTCCATTTGGCCCACAGTGTTCAAACTTCATAGGATGATTGTCCATATTGGGTAGAAGACCCCTATTGATTTTGGGGTCACAAGGTCAAAGGTCAAGGTCACTATTACCTTGATACTGAAAACAGTTTCCGGAGCATAACTTAAGTTCCATTTGACCCACAATGTTCAAACTTCATAGGATGATTGTCCATATTGGGTAGAAGACCCCTATTGATTTTGGGGTCACAAGGTCAAAGGTCAAGGTCACTATTACCTTGATACTGAAAACAGTTTCCGGAGCATAACTTAAGTTCCATTTGACCCACAATATTCAAACTTCATAGGATGATTGTCCATATTGGGTAGAAGACCCCTATTGATTTTGGGGTCACAAGGTCAAAGGTCAAGGTCACTATTACCTTGATACTGGAAACAGTTTCCGGAGCATAAATTAAGTTCCATTTGGCCCACAGTGTTCAAACTTCATAGGATGATTGTCCATATTGGGTAGAAGACCCCTATTGATTTTGGGGTCACTAGGTCAAAGGTCAAGGTCACAATTACCTTAAAACCAAAAACAGTTTCCGGAGCATAACGTAAGTTCCATTTGGACCACAATATTCAAACTTCATAGGATGATTGTCCATATTGGGTAGAAGACCCCTATTGATTTTGGGGTCACAAAATCAAAGGTCAAAGTCACTTTTACCTTAATACTGAAAACAGTTTCTAGAGCATAATTAAAGTTCCAATTGGCCCACAATATTTAAACTTCTTAGGATGATTGTCCATATAAGGTAGAAGACCCCTATTGATTTTGGGGTCACAAGGTCAAAGGTTAAGGTCATTATTAATAACTTAAGTATTAATCAACCTACAGCTGTAAAATTTTATAGGATGAACAGCGAATTCCCATGTCTTACAAATGCTTCATCTTTACCAAAAACAAAACACTTTCGGGCATATAATGCTCCGCCTAGCGGTGCTCTTGTTACAACTATTTCACAGAAATGATCACCATATTGAGACGATGTATCACATGCAACATTTGGGTTACTACATGTACCTTGAAGGTCAAGGTCACAGCATGACCTTGCAGCAAAATCGTGTCAGGCCCATAACATATTTTATTAACAACTATTGGTAAATGTCATGACTATTAAAACAGTCAATCTTTTTAAATGTATAGGCAATAGACTTACTCAGGAATTAAGAATATTTTAGGTTTTCCTAGCTAATCCGAGGGTACAAACAAACTTTTACAGTTACAGGTTTGAAAATAACTGCAACAAGTTGACAAATATATTGTGAATGGTAGTGCACCGTGAAGCTATAATGGTTAAAGTTTGTTTGTACCTGTGAATTTGTTTGAAAACCAACATTTGCTGAGTTTCGGATATTATCTATTCAGCTCATCTTGACAACAATAACAGTGTTCAAAATTAGCAGTAGTTTGATAGCCCCTGACTACTAAATTTCTCCTCGGGCTACCAACTTTTCACAGTAACAAGCCCGACCAGGCTACTGTATTTTCAGAGGCAATATCAACAACTGTTTAGAACAAATGTATCATGCTAATGAAATGTCTTTTGGGCTAGTGAATATTCCAATCTGGTAGTCCGACCAGCCTAGTTGATTCAAATCCTAATTTCTTTCACTGCAATAAACTGAGCATAATGTTAGATTTATATAACAGAGTAATAGTATTACCACGTCACACATTTTACTTTTATATACTAGATTCAGACTGGGAAAATGTCAGATACAGCAACAAAGAAACTTAAACTGGACAAAACTTATCAAGAAAAATGTCCGCAGTTAGAACCAGTGTTAGCAGACAAATATCTTGCTGCAGTAAAATTAGGTAGGTGTTCAAATATTTCTGTGTAGACAGAAATGCTCCATTAATAATATTTGAGCATCAATTATATGTTAGTAAAGCAAAGAATACAATTTCAAATTTAAATAATACTTTGAAATCTGTATTTTTTCAATGTCAACTCTACAGAATCTTAACTTTTGGTTCCAGACGGGAAAGGGTTAAAAGATAAGTTTGATATGGATATTTTGTTATTTCTAAAACTGCTTTTTGTTCTACAGATGATGTTTACATATGTGAAGTGACTGATAAGAAGAAAACATCAGAAATTTTGAGGTACGTAAAATAAGAAATGTAGCAAATTTTAGTTTCTTCTATAAATATCTTATTGCAGGTTTAGGATGCTACAACAACTGTAAATAGTATTAGTACTAAACTTCTTACAGTAAAAACATAATGTTTAATGTGATTCCATGGCTTATTTTCACTTTGAATTGCCACTCACCATTATTGGTTCAAACAGGCCAGGAACTTTGATTTTTTTTTGTGAGAGGAAGCTTATAAAAGGTCTATGTGGTTTGCTTGTCTTTGAAATAAAGTACAAAATGGTACTTGATGTATTCTTTTTATTGAAAAATTTGGAAGCTGCAATGTAACCTGTATTGTGTAAGTGGGACTTAAAACTGGACCTACTGTATACTCCAATGGTATATTGATCTAGTAACTAACCTATTTGAGAGTTAGAGCCATTTAACAGATTTTAACATTATGATTCATAGATCTAAAATTTTGTGACACAAAGTATAGATCGGCAAATTTGCAAAGTAGTGCATTGCTGGCTCACTACAGTTGGCTTTTAATGTTTATCCGACTGGAACCGAAAATGATCAGCATTTTGCCACCGGTATATAGTCAGGTCAGCCTACACATCCATAGAGTCTGACCAAGCTCTAAACTGCTGGCTGACAAACTTTAAATTTTAATCTTGATATCCCCAATATTGATAATTGACAGTTCCAAAATTGGAAGCTGGACAAGTCCATTCAAGAAATTTAGCAGGTTAAGGGTTTATGTTTGCAAGTGTTTTTGCATCAAGTATTCTATTCTATCTCTATTATATATTCAGATATTTAACATTCAAGTATCCATTGGACCAATACCCACATATAAAAAGAGTGAAATCAGGAAAGACAAATGGTAAGGTTCAATTAAATGTTTCATTAAATAGAACAGAACAGATTTATTCAAATGATTTTTTTCCCCTAAAAATGTTGATGTTAATGTATTGTTATAGTCATCAATTCTGACGAATTCATATGTTTTCTAACAAAATATATCTCACCTGACAAACTCTCTTTTTCTGACAACTATTACAGATGGTCTTATACCTCTGTAACATGTGTTTGATATGGATTTTGGCTTTTCTAAAATGATTGTGTCATTTCCCTTCCATACCCTACATTGCCAACCCTGCACTCAAATTAACAGGCATTAAATGTTATCAAATTTTATTATGTTAACTGAGTAGCACAAAGAACCATTCAAAACGTTCATAAATTATAATGTTTATACTAGGAAAACTTTCTGTATGAGTTAAAAAATGCTATACATTAGCTATATCAATATTGATGATATTTTATTTTTATAAGGATTAGCAACAGTGCAAGTGATTATTTGTGAAAAGAGACTATTTTCATCAGCGGACGATGTCAGATCTGTGTTGGAGCCATTTAAGGACAGTATTGGAAAGATTGGTGTGTTGAAGATTCCTTCGTGTCCGCCACTGACTCGCGACCAGTTTAACAGCTGTATACAGTACTGGCCTGTTAACTTCCACGAAAATAAAGTGTATGTATTCTCTTTCATTTTTAATTCTGATGATTTTGTTTTGAATGATTTTGTTTTAATCTTGGTTTAAAGGAACTCCACTGAGGTTCAAAAATCTAAAATCGTAAAATTTAATTTTTAACACAGATCAGCTGGGGCACTTAACACAGGAAGACATGCAAAAATGATTCAGAAATGTATACTCAAAAATGGCCAAAAAAGCGTATTTTTGTGCTATTTTTGATATGATTTGAGTTAAAAGCGTTTTGGGTCATTTTTCTCAATTTGAATAATTATCCTGGATAAACTGCAAGAGCGAATGATCTAAAATATTGCACACAAGTTACTGATCTAGACCTACATCAAACTGAGCATTAATCTCGAAAAATTATTTCCAGTTTGGTCATGTCAAAAAACCTCAGTGGAGTCCCTTTAACGGGTTTTAAGTGAAACTGTAAAGGTCATATGCAACTTTCCAGCCTTACTGGTAGAGGCAGATCTCAGGTGCCACTTCAAACATTGTATTAGGCATGAGTGAGCACCTAAGTAGAACCATGGACCTTAAGACAGTACTGGATAGCTTCCTCACATGAAAGAATCTGTCCCCTCATAGCCATCCATCAGGGACAAGTGATATGATTTCATCAAACGTAACCGTTCATTCACAGGGGCCCATTTTACATATGTAGACTAAAATTGAGAAATCTTGTTTTGTTGTATTTAGATGTCATTGATTTTGTTTAGAGTATATGAAATATGACTGAATAATATTAAAGTTTAAAGTTTAGAAAGTCAGTAATTATATCAAGATATTTTTAGCTATCATACATCTTTAGTATTATAGAAAGCCTACTTTAAAGCTATGAGAGAGCATACGTGACCGGGGCTAGGGGGGAGATATGAGGGTTAGAACTGTGCCTTTTGAACAAAGAGAGAGGACTTGGGGCAGTTGTAAAATAGGGAAAGAAGTTTAGACACATGTGTTGCGGTGTGAGTAATTTTAGATGGCAATAACAGTGTAGAAGAGGAATGATGACTGTATGAAAGATGAGGAAGTAGTGTGGCAGGGGAAGCATTTACTGTAGGTGTCGAGTGGAGGAGCAAAAGATGAGGGGGTTGTAATGTTCGATTACAGAAGGAGCAGGGTCTTCTTCGGTGGTGAACAGTAGCTGTTTGAGCTGAGCAGAATGATGGTGGGGTGATCCAAGGTGGTCATATGAGCAGAAGAGGGCGGGTCGAGGAGGGGGGCTGAAGATTAGACTAGAGGAGGCGAGATGGAGGGCGAGGGGTAATGGACCGTTATAGCTGAAGTGTGTGTGACAGTTTTTTTAGCTGCATACAACTATTATGTTACCCTTATAGGGATAATTTGTAATCACAAAGTGGTGATAATAAACGTCTATGCAATTTCCACGGAGTATTAGCCAAAGATTTAAATTTTGAGCCAAAAGTAGGTTACTGTATGGCGGTCAATGAGAACCTAAATGTACAGTAAACCTGAGACAATACGAGGAGGTAACCCTTAAAAGGGCTGTTGGTGCCAGGCAAAGGGGTTGCCTTTCAAGTCATCACTCTCTATGCTAGGGGGCTCACGCACCCTGTCGTCTCTGCCAATATTGTAGAACCTCTCTCCTCGGCTTAAGTTAACACCGGCAGCTACCTTCAGGAGTATAGACTATAGAGCCATCTAAGTCTGAACATCTGTGCAGTGTGACCAGGCAGTGTATTGTTTTCTAGAGGTGTTGCTCTAGAGACTTAGTTAGAGAAGTTATTGCTCTATAGAGGGCCTCTCTGCGGAGGTTTTACTGTACACCTTTCTGTTTAAGAGACCTATTGGAGCTGTGATAGTGGACCCAGTTACTGACATTGTGATTGCCAAGGCTTATGACATGAGGGCTGGTTCCCATCCTCTCCACCATGCTACAATGGTGTGTATAGACCTGGTTGCCAAATCACAGGGTGGGGGAATGTGGAAATATCCTCCAGGTAAAATTCTTATTTCTTAACCTTACCACAATAGATTGACCTTAGAATAATTCATTTTGCTTGATTGTTTTCATGACTAACATTATATGTTGCAAATAAATTTGAAAATACATGTTAAAAACATATGACCTTATTCCATCTTAACAACAAATGCTTGAAGTAGTATAAGGATTTGAGTGATCTAGGTTTTAAATTTGATCACTTTACTTCAGTCCATTAAATTAGAAATTTTTGTTATGAAAACCATCACCCATTTGAAATATGTAAAAATATAAAATAAGTAGGTGTTAAAATAATTGGACAACACTTTCAATTTACAGAGGCTCAGCTGTACTGTGTTGAGCAAGACATTGAGATAAATGATGACAGTAAAACAGGACCTTATCTTTGTACAGGATATCATCTGTATGTCACACAGGAACCTTGTGTCATGTAAGTGTCTTAATTATTTTGTACAGCCTTATTGGCCATTTTGTTGGCCTTATCAGCTGAACGGTTAAGGTTGTTGTCTTCAAATCACTTGCCCCACACAACTGTGGGTTTGAATCCCACAATGGACTTTGCATTCTTTCTTATGAAGAAGCTATCAAGCTAGCTTATGAGATATCAGTGGTTCTACTCAGGTGCCAGTTTGTGTATTATGTATAGAGGCGCACTTGAGATCTTCCCCCAGTAAAGCTGGAAAGTCGACATATGACAGTTTAACAGTGATTCAAATAACTGAAAAATCCTAACCATGTCAAATATTTTAAATTTCATTGATCATATTTAGGGGAAATTTAAAATAAGTACTGCCTGGATAGCTAACAGTGCAGACCATGATCAGATGGCATGTAAGTGCGGACTGATCTTGGCCTGCTCTTGTCTCGGGGGATAAATCTTTCACACGGCGGGGGTAAAAAAGTTTTAAGGTTTTTTTTATTAAAAATTAAGTAGCGAAAATTTTGACCCCAACCCCTTTTTCATATTGCATTAAAATTTTTTAAAAAAAAGAATTAAAAATAATTTACAGAAAAAATGCTCACATACATTTTTCCCGGGTAAAATAAACATCAAAAGAGCCAATTTTTAAATAGAATTATACCCCGTTTTTCTAATTTTTTTTGTAAATATCAATTTTTAAAAAGGGAATTTTCCTTAAATTTTATCCACCCATATTTTTAAAAGTTGTAACTTAAATCGAATTTTTTATCTACATTTTCCCCGCTTGTCCTCTAGAACACGGTTTATTGGGAACTTCATAAATCCTAATCCAGTACAATTAAACAGGATTGAATCATACTATAATTTTCGGGGGTTTTTATAAAGAAAGTGATAACGTTCCCGACGCCTAATACAGGGGGGGGGGGGGGGGGGGAAATGAACAAACTCCAAAGTATTCAACAGAAGAGTAAGGGATCAAAGGTTTGGTCACTGCTACCATATAAGAACCAGAGGGAGTCTATACTGCTACCAAGTAAAGTATCTGAGGGAATCGTTGCTGATTCTTCAGAATATTAGGGATTCTCTATGCTGCCACAAAAAAAAGAATCTGAGAGAGTCTACCCTAATAACGATTTACTGGGAAGAATCTGAGGCAGTCTACTCTGTAGCCAAGTTACTGGGAATAATCTGAGGCAGTCTACTCTGTAGCCAAGTTACCAGGAAGAATCTGAGGGAGTCTACTCTGTAGCCAAGTTACCAGGAAGAATCTGAGGGAGTCTACACTGTTACCAAGTTACTGGGAATAATCTGAGGCAGTCTACACTGTTACCAAGTTACTGGGAAGAATCTGAGGCAGTCTACTCTGTAGCCAAGTTACTGGGAATAATCTGAGGCAGTCTACTCTGTAGCCAAGTTACCAGGAAGAATCTGAGGCAGTCTACTCTGTAGCCAAGTTACCAGGAAGAATCTGAGGGAGTCTACACTGTTACCAAGTTACTGGGAATAATCTGAGGCAGTCTACACTGTTACTCCAAAAGTTTTACTGGGAAAGAATCTGAGGCATTCTACACTTGTTACAAGTTACCAGGAAAGAATTCTGAGGGAGTCGACACTGTTACCCAATTCCCAGGAAGAATCTGAGGGGGTCTACACTGCATACAAAGTTACCAAGTTAGGATTTGTGAGGGGGTCTACCACTGCTACAATTCCCTGGAAAAATTAGGGGGTCTACACTGTTCCCAAACCCAAAGAACTGAGGGGGTTTCCTTTCCCCAAGTCCCAAAAGAAACGGGGGGGGTCTACACTGTTAAAAAAGTTCCAAGGAAATCTGGGGGATTTCACATGGTCTGGGGTAAACATTTTGGTTAAACAGAGACAACTGAATATTTTTAAATTTTTTCAACAACAAAATGACTAAAGTTAATCACTTTAAATAATAATGATTTTGTAATACTTAAAGTTTTCATGCAATAATTTTAAAACCGTCAAGTGGAAAGCATAAAAGTTAAAACTTTAAAGGGTTTTTTTACTTTTAGGCGTAGACTTCCATATTTTAAAAAACATTCATTATACTTTAAACAAAAAAATACAGGAAAAAAATTTTTTTTTTGGGGGGGCAAATTTTTTTTGACGGGAAATTAAAAAAGCCTATCTTTCATTTGTGAAGGATGATAAATAAGAAATTTAGTGAAAAAAAAAATTTAATGTTGATGCCAGATATAAAACCAGAAGGTCATATCCAAAAGTAATAAACAACTTGATTTTTGACAGCATGTGTTTTTGGTACTTATTCCCCCACAAATGATGTTTAGAAAGTATATAGGAGTCAGCTTGTTGGTTAGTTGGTTGATTTCATGGTTTACGGATGATAACTCTTAACAAAGCAATGGATTATAATAATCTTTTGTACACAGATGTAACATCATAAAATACAAGGCATTCAAACCTCTATTTTTTCAGAGGCACTTTATTTTCACAGTTACCTTGAATGTGAAAACTGTTTCGACTCAATTACAAGTAAACCCTTTAATCCAAAGCATTTAATCTAAAAGGATGAATCCCCCTAATTGACTAGAAAACTTTTTTTTAGGGGCGGGGGTATGTGAAAGGTTTAGTTCCCTTAGAGCCACATATCATTAATGCTAATGTGGGGAGTCTACCATAATAAATATTTTGTTCCCATGTTACTTTTCTCTGAATCAGCTCTGATACATCTTAGGAAAAAAGTAGGCAAATATGGTTTGATGATTTTGGACAAAGTTATCCCTCTTGAATGTTGAAATTTTTTTTTTTAATTTTCAGTTCCACACTTTTACTTTTGTGGAAATGTGTGTAGTCATTATCTCGGCTACAAATATGTAATTTGCAAAAGGTTAACACTGAGTAATTTCAGGGCCTTGAACTTTGTATAGAAATGGTTTGTGTTAACATTGAATAGTTTTAAGGGCTTTGAACTTAGAATGAAATTTTGAACTTAGAATAAAAAAATAGTTCGTGCAAACAAATTTGGAACTAAATATTATTATAACATTTGAAATTTTGGCTGCATGCGTGGGCATCCATGGCGTAACGACACATTTCTAGTGAAGGAGCTACATGTATGTCCCTTTTCACGTACAATTTTGTAATAATTGGTTATTGATAGGCATTGACTGTAACAGAGGAGTGACACAACTTATGGTTCTCTTGTTGTTATCAGGTGAGCTCACTCTTTGTTGTCAAGTTTGTTTACTTCCATTTATCAACTGTAATCAACTGAAAATTGATGACAAACATACAACAGTCTTATTTACAATTTTATTTCACTGTACATGTATAAACATTATATGACATTTTTACAACAATTTTGTAAAATAAATAAAAATTCAATTTAGTAAAAAATAGAACAAAATTATCACATTAAGTGCCAGATGATACATGCTTACAGATCATGGTGCTTATGAGATTTTATCGGTATGAATGTGATTCATTTAAAAAAAAAAATCACTTTTACACTAAAAAAAGGCCATGTTAACAGAAATAATAGCTTACTGCAAGTTTGGTAGGTGTTGTTTAATTTTAAGCTCGACTTTTTTCTGTGTATTGCAAACAGAGGGCACAATAAACTAACATTGTTGATAATAAACAATTTTTATGCCACAACAAATTTCTCAAGTTAGTAATAAAATATATTTTCAGTTTTAAATATGTACAGTCCGACTTGTAAATCTTATACATAGGTACACAATGTTGCATCGATTCTGTTGATCAGTTCAACATTTTGTTGAAGAAAAAGGGCTCAGCAGAAGGCAGTTAAAATATAACCATAAGCAAATTTTCTAACAGTATAACTACCATAAATCAGTGAACTGTAAAAATATTCCAACTTGACCTATGTGTACAGACAAACGAAGAGCATATTAACAGGATACCTATCATAGCTAATTCAAGAGTATAAAAACATTATCAAAATATGTTTAACATGGCATATTTACATCTATTCTGGCAGTACTTTAAAACAATAAATAACTTTATCTACATAATATACATGTGTATAAATCAATCTAAGTCAATTCAACAGCATTTCACTAGCATTTAAGGTTTAATAAATCAAAATAAAATCTACTCTAGATTTTGAAAGAATGAAATGTGCACACTGAAACGGCCATAATTCTTCATTCTTTATAGCTCTTTATTTCTTATTATTTTTTTCTTTGCAAATTTTTTATTGTCTTTTCTATAATAATAATCTATGATTTCATTTTGTGTTTTAACAATGCATATTATATCTATATTCAAGCTGGCAATTTCAATATATCTGTGTTCTAATGACTTTACAAAATGATATGCTTAGCACGCAACTTTGTTATGTCACAATTAAAAGGCAAACTGGTCATTTTTTCATAATAAATAAATATATAAATAAAATTTGCCATTTGTTCAACACTTTAACCCTTTTGATAACCTTTATAATATATTTTTTTTTCCATAAAAACTGTCTAACATTCTGGGTTCTCATAACATTTCTTTAATATAGGGGTGATTTCAAAATCATTTTCACCTCATAACATTTCTTTCTTATTGTGGTGATTTCAAAATCATTTCATCTCATAACATTTCTTTCTTATTTGGGCGATTTCAAAATCATTTTCACCAACAACATTGAATGTCATAAGAAATCCATATATACTGATATTGACTGTTCACTATCACAATTTGTTAAAGGTATTTTATTGCCTCTTATATCACTTCATTATCATTTTAAAATGACATTTCCTGGTTCAATATCAATACTCTGGGAAGAAGCCATGGTGAGGTAACTGGCCTTGTGCCATATCCATACGGATCTGCCATCGTAGATCTTGCCGTTTTTTGTCGGATGGTATTTTATAGTTGTTCGCCACAAACACTCTATGCTGTTTCTGTAAAACAGAAAGTAGTTGTATGACATAAACATCATTTACTTAAACACAACTGTGAAGGAAATTTGAATTCTAAAGCCTAAAACCTGTTGCCAATCCAGGGTTCTCATTTTTACCTGAGGCAACAGATGTGCCAACAAAAACAACTGATTTGGCCTAGGGTCAAGCTTTATATTTTAATCTGCAGACTACAGATTTTAACAACAAATTACAACAGATTTTAAGAGCATTTCAACCAATGATATGAATGGCCAATATGTCAATACTGAAAACCCTGCTAAACAGTACATGTGCTATAGCAGGAAAACTTTAACTAAATAGAACTCAAACCCACAGAGTCCCTATTTTAAGAATATGTTTGGGTCAGAGGTTTCGGGACAAAATTAACAGAATAACGTATCCAACAAAAAACATCAAAGAGAAACTGATATTATGAGGTTATTACACATACAAGGGTAAAATGGGAAATTTTAAAAATCCTGAATTAAGGAGTTTTTCTATAGTTTTACATTGAAATAGAAGACTTTCAGGAGACTGAAAATCCTGAACTTCAGGCATAATCCTGAAAACTTTTACCCATGCACATAGTACACAGCTGCAGAAACCTATATTGGAACAGGTGCCAGCTGTGTATTCATCTAAAAGAATCAAGACAGTATTCTACAATGCCCTGTTATGTCATGCCGCTAACTTTTTGACATTTTGAAAGAACTTTGTTAATTCTAGTATAAGAATTTGAGATGGATTTTTTTGGACTCGGAAAATGAAAACCAGACTATATTAGTAAGACTGGACCAAAAAATGATTTATTTTGGGTATCACATGATGCACACCCTGGAAGTTCATTGATTACAATTTATAAGGTGTGACATTAACATTTAATTTTTTAATTTCTAAATATTGTTGTTCAAAATATTTTCTAGTACTGTTTACTGAATAGAAGGAAATGTTGCCATTATTTTCTCAGAACTAGTCATGTACAATGTTTACCTTTTCATAAACAATATCTTGTGCCAACATTTGTTCTCGGACATTCCAACGTAAATTTTTATGATTTTTCTCCCCTGGCGCCCTCTGAACCTGCCAACTTTGTCGGAACTGTTGATATCTCGCTACTGGGTCAGACTTCTTTATATTCCTTGTATGTGGGTGCTCTGGTTTTCTAAGTATAACTGCAAAGAAAAGAACAATTTTAAGTTGGTTAAATTATACAGGCTGTAATTGTAAGGTTAAATAAACTAGGAATTTGTTTAAACTGTAAAACCTAAACTCGTTTAATTTGTGTAATGGATTTGCCCTGCTTTGAATTTGGAACAGTCCAGTCAACAGTTATAGGGATTTCAGTATCAAAATACAAAAATTGAGCTTTTGGATCAAGCTGCACAAATGTGCGTGCAGCTGGCCTGGTTCTATATTGGCAGCATAAACTAATCACAGTCTTTTCACAGTAAGGGTTATACATATTTTATGTCAGTGTCAGTTACATCTTACTGCACTACTTGCATTTGTTTGTTTGTTTGTTTCATTTTACGCCTTTTCCCAACAGTATTTCAGTCATGTAGGCGGACTACTGGCATTAACATCATTTTAACATGTTTTGTCATTGTTCAAGTTGGTATTAATTACGTTCTCCAGATGACAAATACAGATAGAATATACATATTGTTTTACTTATGTCATACTGACCATTTCACAGATTCTAACACATGTTTTATAACATAATATTTGCATTTTGACTATAAATTTTTAAAGCATTAGCTAGTAAAATATGTTGGAACACAATATACCTGAAGCAGGTCTAGGTCATTGGGGATAGTCGATGTGGCTGCAAGAATAATCAAAAAAAATTAAAGTATAAAAATCAAAAGGACATTTTGTGTATTATAGCTGGGGAATAAATTCCATATTGGGGAATTTTTTTTCTAAAACCTTTCTTTTTGTCACAAAGGACCACAAAAGTTTTGGGCTAAATTCAAAAAATGTTCTCTTAAGTAGAAAAAATTGGATAAATGGTTTGCATCAATCATCAGTTGGCACTACAACTTTTCAAATACATCTGTGCTAGGAATGCATCTTTGTAAATGGACTGTTTTACACATGATTAAAGACTTCAATCAGAATAATTATGCTAATGTTGTTTGTATGTAAAATTTAGCTCTGCCTACCTGTGTTTGTGCAGATTGTGGGCGTTTCCTATCAAATAGTTCCACCCTATCAGCTATTCCCAGTTCCCTTAAACGTTCATTTATATCCATCACACTACCTGTAATTTCAGAAAAAATCATACATGTATTTGATTTCAATACACAAGTCTGTTTGTTATAATCACATTTATGTTACATTGAATTTAGGGGCTATAATCATTTTCATTTAATTACTAGTATTTTTATTATTACGATTTCCAACTCATTTCCTTCTGTAAAACCGAAGTTCAATCTCCATCCAACTCATCTCATTTTGATAGCTTTACAAATATACATGTAGTGAACACTTCTGAGAATTATTGAATATAAAGGTAAATTATTACACAGCCAACAAAAGAAATGCAAGTATAATCATTCTTTCAAAGAAAAGCAGGCTTTCAGGCAAATTATTGAGCATTTCATAAAATTGAACCCACTTAAGTCATTTGGAAACACACTGTTCGAAAATGACCAATAGAAAGTCTCTGAAAATAGACATCTTAACTATCGTAGTTAAGTAAAATGTTACTTGAAGACTCTGCATGACACTTCTGAAGCTATGGTATGTCATTTCATTGAATTGGAAAATTTAAAATAAACTTACTTATATCGCTTTCTGACATGGATTCATCAACTCTCTTTGAGCCATCTTTCTCTTTTCTGCAGTTGAAAAAAAAAAGAACTTGAATTTATTTATAAAATCATCATAACAAATAGACAACTTTTTGAGGACACTTTAACAGAAGCTGGTTTATAAAACATTTCAACAATTACTCTCCTCAACAAATAATAATTCTTAGTTTGTAATATAATTACATGTGTATATATATCTAAGTCATCAATAATGGTAGAACCCCTATATCGCAATAATCTAAAATATAATTTCTCATGTTTATTTGTTATACAGTGGAACCTGTCTTATCCGAACTCGTCCGGACCAGAAGAAAAGTTCGGATTAGAAAGGTTTCCGGATTAGAAAGGTTTCCGAATTAGAAGGTTTTTTACATGTTTTTTCATGTTATTTGCAAAATAGTTTAAGGAAAGAAAACGGGAATGCATTTGAAATTGCAATTTAGATATTTTATTTTTGCAGTCTTTTATCGTTCATTTTAATACATGTGAATACAAAAATAAAGAAATAAAAATAAATAAATAAGCAAAAATATTATGTCCTCAAGCGTAAGTTAACCTTCGATGTAAAACAGGAGGCCGAGACATGATTGAATATTCGTACCAGCATTTGTCAATTGTTGTTTACTCATATCCGAATTAGCGACTATCCGAATTCACTGACAGTTTCCATTAATTTTCATTACTTAATCACGTATCATTGAATCCATTACAAAGGATTAAAAGATATTTCTTTTGAATTATATCAAAATATTTATAGTAAAATAAGAACAAAAATTAAAAAAATCGTCCGGAATTCGGAGTAGACAGGTTCCGGATCCGAAAGGTTTTTTACTATTGAAAATAGAACGAATAAAATCGGGACGGGCCACTTCGTTCGGATTAGAAAGGATTCCGGATTAGAAGGGTTCGGATTAGCAAGGCTCCACTGTACATGTAAATTAAGCTACAAGTACCTCGAAAGAGTTCACACATACCTGAGCACTTTTCGCTTCATCATTCTCCTCTCTGAGTCTGCTTCCGAAACATCATCTCTGTGAGACAACTGTGATTGATCAGCATCATTTTCATATAAACTGAATTCAGCACCAGGTCTACGAGGAATGTGATGTACTTCTTGAGGGGAACCAGCTCTCATTGGATACTCTCTGTTTTCTTTACCGCTTCTCCACTGTGAATACTGGAATATAATTTAATCAAAATGAAATTAAAGTTACAATTTTACATCATACTATATTCTAGTCTGATATAATCGCCCTAGATATCATTAAGAAAAGTATGCTGTCCATCCTTGGGCAAGGCTTAAATTCAAAATTTTGATATTTCAAACCAACAACTCCAAAAAAATATGTTTCATCCCTGTTGAGAAAATTAACTTATTAAACTGGCATCTGGCAAATTTAAGATAAAATTATCATTTCAGAAGTTTTGCAGGATAAATGCTTATTCCCTGATAATCAAAGAAAAGGGAAAAATGTTCAAATTCAAGTTATCCCTTATCTTACTAAATTCCTTCATGGATATGTTCATCTTCCATCTTTAGAACTGTCCATTATAAATTCTGGGAATAAAAAGATGTATTTTGAAATCATTAGCCAACAGTATTGAGCCTGGTTAGACTGCAGGCTGGCTCTTTACTTATTACAACATGTACAAAGGCTAATCACTTTCCGTTCCAGCAGGGTCAGGGTTCATTTAATTTTGTTAGTGATTGACATAATACTTACCATTCTTCTATCCTCCGCTAGACTAGGTACTTGACGTTCAACTGGAGATTCTTCAAGTGGTACTCTCATTCTTGGCTCAGGTACTCGCACCCTTGATTCTAAAAGATTCCATTGAAAACCAAAATAACACATAACATTTTGTAATATTATGACAAGACAGTAAAATACAAAGTTGAAACTATCAACTAAATTTGTTGAATGTATTTAATCACATTTACAAAATAAAATGTTTTCGGACATCCTAGCTAAAACATGTCAAAATCACAGTGACCGCATGGCTGAGTGATTAATGTATGGGAGTAGTAATTTTAGAATAGCTAACAGCTTGTGTTTGAACCCTGCCAGGGGCAAGCTGTTGTTTCCTTTATAACTCATTGTTAAGTACTGGTTGGCTCCAGAAATGCATTTGAGAGTGAGTCTTTAAGCTTACTGCTTCCTACACAATCAAACTAAAATGAATTTTGTATAAACTAAAATCACAAAACCGGTAGCAAACATTTAATTTTATTCACAGGAATTTGACTATTGTAAAATAAAATACTTACTGTATTCTACAACACCTTGTTTACATACACTGACAGGAAATAATTGCATAATATAATTTTCATACAAAATCTAAGTTAAATGTGAATAATCATGCCTTTGATGTATAGTAAATTGGACAGATTCAAATTTAAGTACATGCAATTGAAACTGAAAAACATATTAAAAGCATGAATCATTATACTGGCTCAATTCATGGATACCCATTCTTTTATTACCTGCTTTTTGTTTCACTGTCATTGACAGTTTTTGGAATAAATGAAAATATTGGTACTTTATGCTACATGTAGTAAGGTATAATTACCATAATTTGAAGTATCTGTGTGGAGATGTGAAGACATGCTTGTATTCTGTGAACTCTGTTTACTTCTCTCATGACGAATCAGTCTTCCAAGATCTAAACATAAGAAACATAATAAATCATACCTTTTAATCCTGCATTTGTGATTCAAATTTATTTACATTAACGATATTCCATTTTGCACAATACATTGTTACATACAAATGTAATCCCACTTAAACATTCAATTTAAGAAAACTTTCTTGAAATTTGTGAAGCATGTGACAAGCATAATATATTTGCCTGATTAAAGGGATTAAGAAATGCTATCTACATTTTTCCAGCAATAATGATTGAAAATCGAGGAAGTATAGTTACGCCTTATGGTAGTTATTCTACCTAATATTTTAAGAGTTTTTCTAGTTTTAGTTCTGGGGCCATGAAAGCAAGTCAATCAGTAGTTGTGTTAGGGGCACACAACGCTGCTACAAACAAACTGATTTCTGAAATTAGTCAGAGATAGCTGTTTATTCCTGAAGCTGGAACATGTACTATTTAGCTCACACAGAACATCTAACCTCCAGTTTTAAATAGGTCATGAATAATAAAATGTTCATTGAAAATCAATAGACAATCGTGATTAGCATTCAAATGAAAACAATGCGGCTGAATAAATTGAATATATGTAACTTAACATGCTACAACATACCTTTTTTAAACTCGTCAAGTCTTGAATCTGGAACATTTTGATATCCCAACTTTCCCAGCTCTTCACGAATTTCATCATCTGTGAACTCTAAGCTATCATCCATTTTGATATTCTGAAACATTCATTTAGACAATACAATTCTTGCACATCAGACAGGATCGTTTACCATTTACACAAGTGCTAGAAAAAACTTGTCTTACACCCCCCATGTCAGACAAGTTGCATGCTTTAACAAGTTGCATGCTTTAACATCATTTCCAAATGCTTTTTATTAATGAATTGCATTCTTAGAATGATATCATAATTGCCAGTTAAATTATGAATTAATACACTACTATAAGAAAAAAGTGCAAAATAAAAATATTAGTTTTTGTAATTTATTTTCGAAATATGATAAATATATAATATATGCAAGAAAAAGTATCAAACACCAGCTGACAGACCATAAGCCTTGTTACTGTTGTAAACAGTTAGAGTAGATATTTTTGTCTGCACCAGCAGCCAGTGTAAGTTTGTTATAACATATCATCCTGTTTAATTTTTGTTTTAGGTTATGTATAAATCACACACATTATACATTGTCATGCACATTCCAGCCCCACCCGTACCCAGTAAACAATGCGTTCAGAGCTTTATAAAGTGCGTGATTTATATATGTTAACTTAAATTACTTGTAGTTGTAAACTTTGTTACTGGTTTTCCATCAGCAGGCCTTGACATTAACTGTCCTGTCGGGCAAGCACTTTTGAAAATTACTTGCCCTGACCCAAAGCTTGCTTGCCCAGACCTAAACCAGTTAAGTGTTGAAAACGACCATACATTCTTAAGTTTTGAGATAAATGGTTGGCAATCTTTGAAAAGGGGGTTTATTTGTCTCTTATCATGCATGGGTTTCATTATAAGCCTTCCGGGCTGTTTTAAGAAACTAAGACATTTTGTGACAAAACCATACTCATTGTTCGGCTTCCGCTAAAATTGGTTGGAAATACAGGTAATGGGAAGATTAAAAGGGGCTAAGTTAGATTTTAAAATGTATAGTAAGGTATTTTGAAGAAAAAAAAAAAAGAGTAAAAAACAAAAAACTTTTTTTCTGACAAAAATGGTCTAATTTGGTCTAATTAAGACTGATTCACTGAAATCGTCATTTGCAAGGATTATTGCTCATAAAATTGGAATTTAATATGTTTACTTGTGTTTTTTTTTTCACTTGCCCTGTCGGACAAGTTCTTTTGGAATTCACTAGCCCGGACCAACAATTTGGTTGTCCCGTGCAGTCGGACAGTCGTTAACTAATGAAGTAATGTTGAGCCAGTGCATCATTAAATGTAAACAAAATGGTTTATTTCATCAGCAAGCATACTACAATTTTGTACTTGTCTTGCCTCATTATAACATCGAGCAGACAAGTGGAATTTTGGACACCAGATTCTAAAATAAGACTGTGCCACAATTATAATTTTTAAAGATAACTAATTCATTAAATTTCCCCGTTTGCAACGTAAATTACAACTTAAAATAAACATTAAACAATGGAGGAATACCAATGCTTATTTATTTTGACTTAGTTTGGAGTGATCAGATGCGGCACACAATAAACAATTCAATAGATGATCATCATCTTATTAGAAAACTGTGTTTTATCATAAATTTGACATGCATGGACATGTTCACAACAACACAAAATAAAATATAAAATGGATTTCAGTATAGAATTATATCACCAATACCTTTAATTTCTAAAAACAAAGATGCCTGTTCAGATGTTGTATTGTAAAAAACTATAAAATTCAAGATTTAATCCAGAAATATCTTTTATTTTAGGAATTCAAAAACTGTGCTCAATTTGACTTTTACCGCTTACAGCGTTTAATAAAATATATTCAAATATAAAATGCAATTAAATGCTGCACAGAAATGATACCATAAAATACAAAAATGTAATACTTTACAAAATCAATATAAATAGTATAGAATATTTAAGCCAATTTATTAATTTTTACCTGCATCATTTTACAACGATGTAAGCAGGTACGCGGTACGGTGATTATGTAAACAAATTCCCTTGCAATTTATCCCTTTATCTCCGTTTAAAAGTTTATTTAAATGTACGCTTAAATGTGACTATTTCTTTGAACAATGCGATTTAATGAAATTAGTATGAGAGAAAATCACAAATAAATTTGTAACAAGATTTACATGACATTATGAATTTAAAATTTTATCCTTATTATTTAGGTAAAATGGGGTCTATTCCAGGATATAGCCATGCTTATATCTGTATATTATCAGGATAATGAGGATATTCTGCTTCTGTATTATAATTATGATAAAACAGATTATTCTTTGGCAGATGCCTTTGGAAGAAAAAACGTATTTAAGGGTACATAAGAGAAATAAACCAAGTGACAACCATATCAAGTAGATTTCACACTATTTAAAGCATAATAAACCAAGTTCCTCATTGTACATAGGCTTCTCTGAAACTTAAAACCACTTATGTATTTGTAGGCTGGCATAGTGGAAATTTTTGTCCAATGTCCTTCATAACAGAAAGCAACAGATTGTCAAAGAAGGTGTAAAATCTTCTAGGGACGATGTACTCTGGTGTTCCACAAGGTCCTTCTTTGGCTAGTCCAAATAGTTGTGCTGTTTTGTATAATAGGGCAATATCTCAACGCCAGAAGTGAGATTCTGACCCAGAACAAAAATATCTCAGAATCTAGCTTTGGCATATATTGAATACATTTCAGGCCCTCTGTAATGTTCTTTAACATCAATGACATGCCAGGTTAATTGTTCATTATCAGACAGATGTTTGCAGATAATATATATTACATCTGCTAAGACATGGAGGACAAGATAAAGTTACAAAAGAGCCTGGATGCCGTAAAAAAGAGGAGGAGGAAAATTGCATATGAGTTTCAGCAACACCCACATCACAAATGATGAGAAGAAAGTCTTCATTCTGTAGACCACAGCAAAAACCTAGGTGCAACCATTTCAAATAACCTGTCCTGGGACAAACACACTAAGAATGTGGTTATTACACAAACAAAATTGTCAAGTGATAAGGTAAGAACTTATTGACATCATACTTTGTACTTTCTAATAAGATGATCGTCTATTGAAAAATAGGCTGAGTATGACCGTACTGAAGTAAGTTGAACTGTAACATACAAGTCATGGTTTTGTATAAATAATAGATAGAAATTTAATTTGCCAGTCTATCCATTTGTCCTATCAATGTCAATAACTTGATCACTGCTGGGTATGTTGTTTTATACTTGATAGGGCCAGCAGATGACCCCTATTCATTCTGAAGTCATTAGAAGGTCAAGGTCACAGTGACATTTGATGTAAAAATATTGTCCTCCAAATAATCCTATGTTATATGAAATTTGGAACACAGACACTTGGGGTGTGGGGCTTAAAACATCTTTAAAATCCAAATAAAAAATGTATATTTGTCAATCCGAGCACAATTTGTACTGATCATATATATCAAAAAAACTTAATATAAGCCGTTTTGAAAAAATTTCAAGGTCTATAGTATTATTATATATGTTTTTTCAAATGGCTTATATACGGTAAGTTTTTTTGATATATATGATCAGTACATGTGTTGGGATTGACAAATATACATTTTATTTGGATTTTAAAGGCGTTTTAAGCTCCACACCCCAAGTGTCTGTGACTTGGAATCTTGAGACATTTCCCCTGTTCAATAGATTACACCACTTATTTTGAGGTCATTAGGTCAAGGTAACACTGTGACATATTGTGTGCAAATTCCTGTCTTCTTGCTAATTTGAGAAGGAATAAGCTTACTTTTGTGAAACTTTAAAGGAACATTGCCATAACAAGTTTATGACCCCATTGATTTTGAGTTAGTTATGTCAAAGGTCATGATCAAAGTGACACTGGTGTAAAATCCTTATTTGATGAATAACTTGTTCTGACTGTTTTCTTCTTTCTTTTTTTTATAATTAAGTCTTACCCCATTTTAACATTGTACATCTAAGGACAGCAGGTACTTTAGACATATAATGCTCCAACATGATGCGCACAGGAAAAAGCCTGTGTGTAAATGCCATGAAAAAAAATCATTATTTTTCAATAATTGTTTTATTTTGCTTTGGTGTTTGTTTTTTTTGTTTTTAATTTTTTAATTGTTTTTAAATGAAAGGTTAAAACACATGTACTAACTTTTATATACCAAAATTTAATAAACATTCTGTGAAAAAAATATCAGTTGATTCCAGTTACCATTGTAAAATAACATTATAAAAATTTTTTACACATTTTTGAAAACTTCAAATATGCATCTTAACATTGACATAATATTTATTCATAGACAAAATGTCCTCAGGGTCTTTACTATAATTATGTAATTGTAAAAAAAAAACAAAACTTATCTTTAGCTGGACTATTTATAATGAACAGTGGAGCTATAATATCCTACTTACCGAGTGACTAAACCAGTGTCACTGGTCCTTGGTATTAACCTACAATGATGACCGGGACAGCATACCACCCTACTCAAACATACATGTACCATCTATCGCCAACAAGACTGGTATAATTATACAATCATGTACCTGTTTTTGGAGTATAAAATGATTAAATATTTGATTTATTCATTGGTTAGTTATGGGTTTTTATTATAATTATGTTTGGTTAAAGTGTTGGTGGAATAAAAATCATTTTACTTATATTTTACTTTTTGTCAATTCTTTTTCCATTAAAGTATAGCTTTTATATATTTTGTGTACATGAAGTTAAAAGTAAGCATAATATTATCTATACTTAAGTAGGTCTGTATTTCTTAGAAATGACATTGTTACTTCACAATTGACATTTAATCAAACTTTTTATAATATTTTATTGACACATTACTTCTTGCAACATTATTAATTTTATAATGATAGTGGATATCAAATTTATAATGATTGTGGGTCGTACATTCAAAATGTTTTTTGGATAATCAATGAATTTATAATGATAATGGATAAATAGAAGTTTCTTGCACAGTTTTATTTAGTATAAGATTTTCAAGATTTTCAGACAATCTGCTGTGGTATTTTGAATTTGTTCATTATTTATAAGGATGAC